ACAAGAAGCCCTAAACCCTAAAAAAATAGCCCTCAACCCTAAACCCTGAACCCTAAACGGACCCCTAAAGCGAGCGCTTCGTCAGCTCGGCCAGGAGATCCCAGAGGTGCCGGGGGAGATCCCGGAGAGCCTCAGGCGAGTCGGGCGGTGTGTGTGTGTGTGTGTGTGTGTGTGTGTGTTTGTGTTTCTAGGACCTAGAGTAGGCCCTTATTCCCTTTTTTGGGGGTTCCGGTTCCCTTATAAGCTCCTTGAAACCAAAAAGGGCACCCTTTTTATTCCTAGGCTACTCCTGGGTCTAGGTTATTTAGGGTACTATAGTACGGTCGCCTATTTTCGGAAACTCCCAAATCATCTTTGAAAACGGAACGTTTGAGGTTTAGGTGTAGGTATGTACTGTAGGTATGTACGTATGCAGATGTGTAGGTAGGTATGTATATATGTGTAACACATGTATGTATATGTGCATAGATGTATTTGACACATATGCTTGTACATGCATGCTTACTTTTGTGCTCTGATCGACAGTCCAGGATTTTAAGATGTCGGCTCAATGTTGTGTGGTTGCCTATGTTTCCGCGACCGAGATTGTACGAAGGGCGTGATTTCAGTCCGCAACTCTCTTTGTAAAGGTGCGTGTGGTCTCTTCGCCCTCGCCCAATCATAGCTCGTAAGTCATAAGTACTTAAAGGATCATGGGACTTAGTAAGTGGGATTATATAAATAAGGCAACTATACTTAGATGTACTGATAACCCCAATTAAGGTACTTATAACCTGACTTACTAAGTCCCATGATCCTCCAAGTCTTCCCAGGTGCTTTTGAGGTTTTTTCCCCGGGCTTGTTCTGGGGGTTGGATTCTCTAGGTGTGCTCGGGACTTGTTGGGCAGTTCAGAACTTGGACCCAAATCCTATACTTTGAATCCAAAGCCCCTGAGCCTTGGAATATAAGGGCCTCAAGAATTAGACGGTTTAGGGTTTAGGGTTTAGGCCCGTATTTTAGAACCGCAAACCCTGAACTCTGAGCCCACCCCCAGCTTCCTCTCGTTTTGTGATCTCCGTCGCAGATTGCCGAGCACTTGCTTGCGGGGGCCCGCCCCAAACAGAGAGGGTGAAGGGTTTTAGGGTTTAGGGGTTTAGAGAGGGTTTAGGGTGTAGGGTTTAGATCCCGAAACGCTAGAAAGTCTGAAACCCTGACCCTCCAACCTTCAACTACAGGTGACCCAGGAACCCTAGACCCTGAGGCGCATTCTTCACATGACTGGAGTGTTTTCAAGTTTGGAGGTTGAAGGCTGGAAATTAGGGGTCTACGTTTTGGGTCTAGAGCCTCAACCTCTCCCCTGGTTCCTAGCACCCAGCATCTGTGAACCGTAAACCTGAATCCTCAACCAGCCCTTGCAATTTGAGTCACTCCCGCTCAGGAGCGGGTGCACAGCAGAGGGTCTTGAGGAGGTGATGAAGCCAGTGAGAGCATCTTCTACAAGCGCCTAATTATCATGTACTCTTCAACATAGTAGCCTACATAATTACTACTTGGAGGCCCTGTTGACTTAGTAAGTCTACTTAGTATCCCCTAGAAACCCCATTATAATCCCCATAACCCACCTTACTAACCCTACTTACTAAGTCAAAAGGGCCTCCAAGTAGTAGCCTACATAATTCCTATCCTAAACCCCAAAAAACCCAATGATTTCTAGCCTCTGGGTCTTCATTGGCGCCTTGCGGCTCGCATCACTGCAGGATCCTTGAGGGGGCACTGAGCTGGCTCTTTTCTGCAATTTTAGGGTTTAGGGTTTTAGGGTTTAGGGTTTAGGGTTTAGGAGGCCTTTAGGGTGTACTTGGAGGCCCTATTGACTTAGTAAGTAGGGTTAGTAAGGTGGGTTATGGGGATTATAATACTAAGTAGACTTAACTAAGTCAAAAGGGCCCCCAAGTGCTCATGCGGCGCACGGAACACGGAACACGGTGGTGGTCGACTCACTTCGCATTTCCTGGCAGTCTGTTACACAGTTCGCACACTGGTGATGCGGCTCAGAGGTTGTGGTGCAGCTTCTTCCGGCATGCAATGGAGGAATCTTTGGCCTCGCTCATTTTATCCTGGCAAGGCGAAGGAGGTTCGAGCAGAGAAGCTTGAGCAGCGTGTTGACAGCTATGAGGCCATGGGACGGTATCTGCTGCAGAAGTGCTCAGAGCCTGGAAGCATCATCAGGCCAGAATGCTTCTGTGTGAGGCACTGGCAGAAATGCTACCCGCACTAGTTCCCCAGGTATGTGTAACTGTTACCATACGGGGAACTTGCCTAGCCGTGAATGGGTTCCAAAAGCTTACAGTATAAAGACACCCGCAGTGCAAGTCCAACCCGGTGCCAGTCGTGTATCTTCCTCATATGCACCAAGACCTTGTTCCAATTCATAAGGCACCTATGTCAAGTCTTGCGGCCTGTGCCTCAAACCCCCAAACACCAAGCCCCAAACCCTAAACCCTAAACCCCCAAACCCTAAACGCTAAACCCCAAACCCTAAACCCTAAACCCTAAACCCCTAAACCCCTAAACACTAAACCCTGAACCCGACACCTTCAACCCGGCCCTTACACCCAAGACCCCGAGCCCCTTTTAGAACCCTTATAGATCCCTTAAAGGAACCCTAATTTGGTCCCTTTAAAGGAACCCGAGGGGCCCTTACTCCAGAGACTCCGAGACTATTTACTAAGTCCCATGATCCTCCAAGTAGACCCTAAACCCCAAACCCTGTACATCCCTTTAAGGAACCTCATGGATCCCTTTAAGGAGCCCTTTAAGGAACCTAAACCCCAACCCTGAAGCCTACACCCTAAACCCTAAACTCTGAACCCTAAACCCTAAACCCCAACCCTAAACCCTAAACCCCTAAACTCTGAACCCTAAACCCTGAACCCCAAACCTTGAGACCCTAAACAGGGGCTGCGAGGACTTACTGTCCCAGGCGGCCGCAGGGTTTAGGGGTTGAGGGCTTTAGGGTTTTCGGTTTTAAATTTAGGGTTTAGGGCTTTAGGGCTTTAGGGGTTTAGGGTTTTAGGTTTTAGGAGTTTAGGGTTTAGGGGTTTAGGGTTTAGGGCTTTAGGGTTTAGGGGTTTAGGGTTTAGGGAGTTCCTTTAGGTGAAGGGGCTTGGGTTTAAAGTTGTTTCGATTGCATGGTGGAGGGTGTAACTTTGGGGTGGTTAAACTTGAGGGTTTGGGTTGAGGTCGTCGCAGTGCTGTCTGCCATTCAGAGTTTATCGTTTCAGTTTTCAGGTTTTAGCGGTCATTACGAAGGGCTTCTATTTCAAGACTTGGTTATGACAAGGGTGACTATAAGAGCCACTGTAACTGCTACCACAGGGGTCAGGGTTTTGGGGCTGGGGTTGCTTAGAGCCCTGAACCGAAGAGCCTTACGTTTCGGTTCAGGGCCCCCTAAACCCTAAAGAAGACCCTAACCCCTAAATCCTAAATCCAAACCCTAAACCCTAAACCCTAAAAAACAAGACCCTGACCCTAAAACTCTAAAGCTCTAAGAGCCATCCCTGGAAGCCCCTTCAGTCCTGGGAAGTATCAGGGGACATGGTAACCGGTAAGCAGCATTGTTTGCAAGGCAACTGCAGAAGAAGCAAAAACAAAGCAATGAAAGCATCTACGTATAAACCAACGAAGAAGCGAGAATGGATAAAAGTCTTTAAGTACACAGGTCTATATCAAACAGGCAAATCAGTAAAGACACAGAATCTGCCAACCCTCGTTTCTGGTACTTGTAGTCTCAATATGCCTTGATCCCTCCAAGTAAACTGGTCTGAGTAAAGCCCTTAGAGATCTTGGGGCCCTAAACCCTAAACCCTCCCTTATTATAGAGCCCTTGGAGCCCTTACAGAACCCTGAGAAGAACTCTTCGAGATCTTGGGAGAACCCTGTAATCCTGCTCTGGGAGGGACAGGAACCCTTACCTCTTCTTCTTGGACTTTGTTTACTACCGTTGATGATATAAATCTTCATTACCTTAATGGCTTTAAACTATGGGAATTATCGTATATTCCTTATCATGGGTAATGCAGGATGTATATCATCAACAGTAGTTCTTCTTCTTGGATTTTGTTTACTAGGGGGGACTTTCATAGCAAGGTTTCGTTGTTTTTTGGTTTTTTACTAAGAGCCATGCTCTGGGTTTAAGGCTTAGGGTTGAGTAACGGGTATTATATAAGTGTGCACCGGTCATTCATACCATGAACAAGTAGCATACCGTTATAGTTTCTTGTGTAGGTGAGGCATGCCATACATCAAAAGAATGTTCTATTTGTCGAGATTCCTATGTTGTGCTTTGCCACGGGTATCGGGATTTGAAGTTATGGTTGTAGGGCCGAGGGACAGCTGTACACCCGCGAGCCTAAGCACTAGAACTGGAATCATAAAACTTAGGTTTCAAATAACGGATCCTGAATAGTTACAGCTATTGTCCCTTCGGGTTTCTATCTTGATTATAGTATACGAAATATGCTCCAAACTCTATTAAACATGTTAAGGCCCTTATAGAAAGCCAGGGCCCTGGACGTTCAAACTTAAGCCCTAAGCCCCACACCCAACCTTAAAGGACATGCAAACCTCATGTGTTACTGGCTGCCGTGGCTGAAGCTTTTATTAATGGTTCGAGCACGGATGCGACATAAAGGATTCTGACCCGCACACCCGAAACCCGTGTGACCAAGAGGTCGGAATAATGGGTAGTTTCATTTGCGTATAGTCCATGAATATTTCTTGTATACATACATACACACTCCATTGCAATTTAGTCATTACAACATCCTCAGAACCGAAAGTGCAAACCCGAACTACGCGGCACATTTTGAGTTTCTTGATTGTATATAGATACTTCAGCGTTTTGACCTTTTTGGGTGCCCTTGGACTACAACTCAGCTTTACCAAACAGTACCTACAGCCTACTTAGCCCCGTCTTTGTGGCGACTGCTTTGGACCCTGCTGCTCATCGCCGGGGTTTGGAATGTCAAGGACGGCGAAACCCTAAACCCTAAACCCTGATCCCTAAACCCTAGTCCCTAAACCCCAAACCCTCAACCCTAATCCCTAAACCCTCAACCCTAATCCCTGAACCCCTAGACCCCTAAACCCCTAAACCCCTAATCCCTAAACCCTAACCCCTAATCCCTGAACCCTAAATTTTTGGAGCCTACTTGGAGGCCCTTTTGACTTAGTAAGTAGGGTTAGTAAGGTGGGTTATGGGGATTATAATGGGGTTTCTAGTGGATACTAAGTAGACTTACTAAGTCAAAAGGGCCTCCAAGTAAGAAACCCTAAACCTTATAGATCCCTTTAAGGAACCCCTATAGATCCCTTTTAGGACCCCTTTAAAGGAACCCTAGGGATGGGAGTCGGAGTTGAGGGGGCCGGTTTGGATTCAGTTTTCGAGGGTCCTTTTAAGGGTCGTTTTCGGGGTTCCTTTGGTCTGTAGGGGTCCATGAAGGGTTCCTTTATGGGATTAGGGGCTACGAAATGCTCTTGGGTCTAGTGATCCAGGGTTGAAGGTTTCAGGGTTTAGGGTTGGTGTCAAAACCAAGTAGTTCAGAGCGTAAGTACTGGGAAAGTGGGCCGGCCTCTAGCGTTCAGGGGTTTGTCGGATAGTACAGGGGCCGAAAAAATACCTATATTGCTTTGGGCCTTCCTTGTTATAATAAAATTATTAAGGCACTTATAGTAGCATTTTTGTCCTGTTTTGCATGCCATGAGTTTACCTGCAGGATCACTTGGAGGCCCTTTTGACTTAGTAAGTCTACTTAGTATCCCCCAGAAACCCCATTATAATCCCCATAACCCACCTTACTAACCCTACTTACTAAGTCAAAAGGGCCTCCAAGTAGCCATTGATATTATGGGAGCTGAGGAGCCGGGGATGATGATAATCGCTATTAAATATGGAGCTAAAGAGCCAAGGGAACCCCCAAAACCACTGGTTAGGTATAGACCCTAAACCCTAATCCCCATATTTCCCTTTCAAGGAACCCTATAGATCCCTTTAAGGAGCCCTTTAAGGAACCCCCCAAACCACGGGTTAGTAGTAGATCGCACTGGATTTCTCAGAACACTCGGAGGAAGCGCAGCCAAGAGGAAGAACTTGTACCTTCCACCCTCAGCCCTAAACCCTTCCTTTGGAAACCCTAAGAGTCCAAAGTACCCAATAATTAGGTACTCGGGTTTAGGATACTAGTTATATACGTTACTATTTTGGAGAGTATATGATAGTTAGGAACTTGGACCCTTAGGGAAACCTGTTCAGAAGCCTTAGCCTGCGAGGAAGCGCCCCGCTGAGAGTATGGCAGGCCCGCTTCCTGGCGTTAGGGGCTCCTTTAAGGGCTCCTTTGATCTACAGGGATCTTAGGGTTTAGGGTGTACGGGGTGTAGGGGTTTAGGGACCGTTTAGGGTTTATAGGGAACTCCAGAAAGTTGGAATATGGTTTCAGGGTAGGATTCCCTATAATTTACCATAGAAGGGTTAGGATAATCATATTCCAACTTTCTGGCTTTTACTTTAGGGGTTTAGGGTTTCATCCGAAATCTTCAGCTTTCGAGTTTTAAGTTTTTGTGGTTCAGCGTCCGGTCTTTCATAGGGTCCTAGCAGGGCTTAGGGGGGCATATCATGAAGCTTTCATAGTCTAGGATGCCCAGTAGTACCCTTATTCCCTTTTTCTAGTCCTAGGTTCCTTATAAAGCTACCCAGTACCAAAAAGAGAGGCCTTTTTATTCTTAGGTTACTGGGTATCCTAGTAGTTGAAATGGGGTTTAGGGCACAGAGCCTGATGGAGTGCTGTTGCTACATGTTCAGATCTCTTCTTGAAATCTTCGATGTCCAGGGTCTCTGATTTTAAGGTTTAGGGTTCAGGGTTTAGGGCCGTTCAGCATTTCTGGTTCTGGATTTAGGATTTGAGGTTTTGGGTGGTTCGGGTTGCAGCGCTTATTGCGTAGGTCATATTTTGGAGGTGAGCTTAGCTGCAGTTGCAGTGAGGGCCTTGGGGTCAAGTTGAAGGTTCTACTTGAGATTTTGGTTTAGGGTTTAGGGCATAAGGGCCCGCCAGGTCCCGAAAATTCAAGTTGAAAATTATAGGTGTATTTGAAACATTAGTTGAGGTATATTCCCTAGCTAAGGGATGTTGGAAGGTCTAGGTGGGTGGATCAATGGTGGCTTGGCATAAGGGCCTGCAGCTAGCACGTACGCTTCGATTCAGGGTGTCCTCCCTTCCCAGCTAGTGCTTCTAAGATGAGGAGGAATGTGTGTGCGTCTTTTACGACGACGACGCGACTTTTCGTCTGACGACGACGCGACTTTTTTGCGACGACGACATCTACCTTGTCTGCGCGGCTGTGCAATCTGTTGGCAAAGGAAGACGAGTATGAAGAAGGACACGGCGAGTCGGGTTCTTCTTCAGCCATAAACCCTTAACCCTAGTCCCTACACCCTGTGGTTGTGCGGATTCAATCATTTGTGGTGAGGATTCGATATACAGCCATCTTTATCTGTTTCGTAACCTCAGTTATGCCGGCCCTTCGTTTTGCCCGTAGCACGCAGGCACGCATGCATGCAACAGGTTAAACGCTCAGATCTAGCAGAACTCACTGCAGGTTTGATGCATGTATCGTCGCTCTTCAACCAATCTGGGCAGTATGGTCTTAGAAATGGTTATTGTTTAGCAGCCAGGGAGCTCATGGCAAATATGTCTATGGCATGGACCAGGTCCGTCGTAGTAGTATTGCAGCCATGTTGTACATTATGCATAACGTTGAGTTGTTTTTTATGAACGTTCGATGCCAAGCGTAACTCTGCATTCTGAAGCTAATGCCGGCATGCCTGGTAGCATTCGGGGCTTGGCGAGTTTCGTCTTTGACCTGTTGCAAACATGGAAGGATTGGGTTCTCAATCCGGACGTCGTTTCCGTTGAAGCCCAGCACAGAATCTCCGTGTGGATACTTTCGAACCCCTGCGCACCAAGCGTCATGAGATGTTTTGAACTTAGCTTGCCGTTTTGGGTTGACTTTCACAACCGCCAGCCTTGAATCCTCAACCCGGTTCTCCAGATTCACGGGAACCCCGGTCACTGATCTGCATGCAAACCCTGCACAAACTGCACAGGCGAATCCTTTGAAACCCTGTAAGTGGAACCCGTTCAAACCCCATTGAGTAGTCAGGGAGGGCACATCGTCTGTAAGGTTCCAAAACCTCAATCGTTAAACCCTAATCCAGGGCGTTCTGAGGTCTTGCAGGTTTTTGCTTGCGAACTTAGTCTGTTGGGCTATTGCTCGCAGATTGTGCATTCCCCCGACAGTTTAACCTTCAACCCTAGACCCCGAACCCTACTTGAAGGATCGTGGGGCGTAGTAAGTGGGGTTATACATAGGGTAATCATACTTATAAGTACTTATAACCCCAATTAAGGTACTTATAACCTTACTTACTAAGTCCCATGATCCTCCAAGTAGACCCTGAACCCTAGACCTTAAACTCGCGACAGCGCTTCCAGACTGTGAGGACTTGGGTTTGGAGCTTGTCCTTAAACCCTTTCTTAAACCCCGAAGATTCTACACTTTTAAGAATTTATAGAAGGAAATCATAGTAAGGATCCATAAAAAGGTAGGTTATTCAGGGTTAAGGTCAGGTCCGAAATCAACACCATGAATCCTCAACCCAGGCCTTAGCTTCAACTTTTACGATGGGTTCATCCCGAAGCCCACACCTTTGACTGCTGCACAGTAGTGCACCCAAGAGATAGGCCGAACACCCAAGCCTAAACCCTAAATCCTAAACCCGAGTCAAGCCTGAAAGCCAAAACCCGAAGCCCGAATCAAACCCGGTACCCTTCAGATGTCACTGCGAGCTCCACAGTGAGCTCTCTGGGATCCAAAAGCCAACGCTGTCGAGCTACGGTTTTGGGTTTAGGGGTCAGGGTTTGGGGTTTCGGGTTTTAGGTGGGCAGCCCAAACTCCAACCCTAAACCCGAAATCCTCAGCCCGTAAACAAGGGCGTGTGGCCTTCGTTGGCTTGGGCGCCCTTGCTGCCTTTTTGGGGAGCAGCTGGGGTAGTCTAGGAAGGGTTCGGATTACGGCTTCCTTGACTGGCTGCGGAGCCTTAAACCCGAAACCATAAACTATAACGGAAGGCTCGGTTGTACGGATTTGGAATTTTGGGTTCAGCGTCTACAGTTTCGTGTGGGGCTATGGAGGATTCAGGGTTTGCGGCAGGGAAGCATCGGTATGGGGGGTATTCGCCATGGTTTTTGGAGTTAGGGTTTAGGTTTAGGATTTGGTTTCGAGTTAGGGTTAAGGGGTTTTGATTTAGGGTGTAGAGTCGCACGGTTCTGGGGCATAGGGCTCATTGTAGAAGGGTTAGGAGATTCCAGACCTTCCCAAGGAGGGGCCATGACCTCCACAGCAAAGTTGCGATGTCGCGCAACTTTTCACTCGGGTCCTGAGTCTTAGATCCTAAGCTCTACTAGTTTACGTGAGGTAGCTTATGTTAGTTTGTCCACAAGTGTCATGGCCCCAAACCCAAACCCTCAACCTTCGTGATTTTTTCAGCAGGCGACTCCTGTAAACCCGAAGCTCCCTAAAAGCAGGTGCCATAGGCCAAACCCTAAGCCCCAAATGGTGCCATGCCAGGGTTCTACTGGAAGTCTTAGGACTTAGGGTTGAGGTCAAACTCCGCAAGTCCCAACCCTCAAACCTCCAACCCTCATCCCGGAGCTCCAAGAATTTCAGGTCGTAGCCTCTACTCCTGGAGGCTAGACCCTGGTTCTTATCCTCAAACTCCATACCCCCAAGGCGCGGAAGATGCTGCGTGAAGGTTCATAGGTTCTGCATGAGTAATCTAGGAAGTTCTTCCGTCAAGATCGCCCAACCCTTCCAATAAGAACCCTAACCACCCTACAAGCCTTAAAGGAACCCTTAGTCTGTGGGGTTGGGCACTCCAAGTAGTCTCCCGACAGTCTGTGGTGCTGCGCACGGTAGTCTGTGCAGCCGGGCACTGCAGCTAATCTCGCTATAGTCTGTGGTCTTGGGCACTCCAGGGAGTCTCACGGACTCCCTTGTAGGTTCGGCAATCGCACCGCCTGCGGGGTAGGGGTCTGAAGTGAAACAATTTTCGTTATCTTTGTGTGGGGCTGCAAGGTCTTGCTGTGCCGGGCTTTGCGTGTGGTGTTAAGGTTCGTTTCATGGAACGAGTCTCTCGCCGAGGTCGGCACGGCTTTGTATGGTTTCGAACTGTCATTTTTCTCGTTGTTCCATTCGGTGTGGCACACAGACAGGCCTTGCCCGGCCGCTGCCGAAGGCTGGCTCTCTGGCGGAGGTGTCTGTGCTAGCTTTGATATCGGACGTGACACTCAGGGTCACCGGCCTCCACACGTCGGCTTCGGCATCCGTCCCGAGGCAGGAGCGTTGTACCTAGAAGCAAACTGGCACCGACTCTGGAGCTGGTCGTCTGAGTGCCTGAGGTCCTGAGCGGGCGGCCGAACGTCCAGGTACCCTTTCTGCAGCTCCGCGGGCGTGCTTTAGCGTGGGCGGTGCGCGACTCTTGCAGGTCAGAGGGAGCATGTTCCACCTGTCGCGCAGAGCCTTCGTCTCAGTGTGCAAGTGGTGGCAGGCGTGGTGTTGGTTACCACGGTGGTGGCGGTGGTGGTGGTGGTGGTGGTGGTGACGGTGACGATGATGGTGGTGCGGTCTACTAACAAATTATGAATGATTTATGTTCATTTTGTTTATTCATCGTTTTCAAAGAGACTAATCCACCGCTACAAACCATGGGTATTTTCACGTGGGTGCTTTAGAACAACTTTTTCCCGATGCGCCACACAACGCATCTCGTCGACATTAAGTCAATGATCAAAGCTTACTTCACGGAGTTCAATCGACAACTTGATCGAGTTGACGTTATGTATGCGTATACAAGCGGGTTCAACCAGGCTGTTGTCCTCCGCAACAAGTTGCCTCGCATTGCAATTGCTGCTATGCTACTCACTCTATGAACGACCATCTCGTCCGTTCAGGACAGTGAGTTCACCGGCGAATTGCTGGACAGTTTCCACCACGTGCATGCGTGGATGGGATCTATCTGTGCGAAAGCGATGTGCCCTTTGAACAATCTGGGCTACAAAGCTGGATGCAGAATGCGCAGCCAGCATCAACAGATTGACTGTAGAGAGGCTTTGGCAGGGCGACAGACCTAAGGGTTATAATCTGGTGTGTATAAATGACTGAATGTTTGAGCATTACGAGGTCTTGCTGCGCCTGTCACCAGTAAGGGAGCAGGGAAAAATAGTTCGGTGTAGCTAGTACATGGGCATTTTGTGGTGAGGTGGTGAAAAGACACGAGGGTTCAAAGGAAAAGGTGCCGTGGGCTCCCTGAGCCCCAAGCCCATTAAGGAACTTCAACACAAGGAGCCTTATCGGAATCCTTTAAGAAGCCCTTTAAGTGATCCTTTTTAGGTATCATGGGCTACACTCTAAGCCATATACCCCTCTAAATCCGAAACTCCTCTGAACCAACCCTAAGCTCCCTAAGTAACCCTTTTTAGGTGCCATGGGCTAAACCATGCTAAACCTTAAACTCCTAAACCATAAACTCCTCTAAACCCTAAGCTTGTAGAAATCGTTTAAGGAACCCTTTAGTAACCCTCTTAAGGTGCCACGGGCTCCCTAAACCCTAAGCCCATTAAGGAACTTCAACACAAGGATCCTTGAAGAAGCCTTTATGTAACCCTCTTAAGGTGCCATGGGCTACCACATGGCCGGGCACTTGGCGAAGCGGCACCCCGGCCGCTGCCGGGTGTGGAATCGCTCGGCCGAGAAGGCATCCGATAGAGTTCGAGAGGGTTCTTACGGTTCCTTTAAAGGGTGGGTTTAGGGTTTAGGGTTTAAGGTTCCTTTAAAGGGTGGGTTTAGGGTTTAAGGTTCCTTTAAAGGGTGCTGTAAGTCCTTTAAGGAATTAGGGTTCCTTTAAAGGGTACCATAAAGGTTCCTTTAAGGGATCTATGGGGTTTAAGGTTCCTTTCCAAAAGACGGACGCTTACAGGAATCATTTAAGGAACCCTTTAACTGGCCCTTTTACGGAACTCCAAAACCCAAACCTTAAACCCTAGCCAAAAAAGCGCCACAACCCTAAACCCTAAACCTAAACCCTAAGCCGTTTAAGGAACTCCAACACAAAGACCCTTACGGGAATCCTGTGAGGAACCCTTTAACTAACCCTTTTAAGCAACTTTTTAACCCTCCCAGAACCCAGACATCCAAAACCCAAAACACTAAGACCTAATTAAAGCCTTTAAGTAGCTCCTGTTCATTCAACTCTGCCCTAAGCCTATTATAACTCCAACAGACTGACCCTTACAGGAATCCTCTAAGGAACCCTTTAAGTAACCCATAGTAACCACATTTTTCCTTAAATCCTAAATCCTAAACCCTAAACCCTAAACCGAAAAGGAGAAAGGCCGCCAATGTAGGTTAAAAAAAAGAGCCGAGACGGAGGCCCGGCGCCACTCCGAGGAGTTCGGCTCCAACGCCGCGACCTCCTTGGCGGAGCTCTCGGACAGCCAGGCGGCCTCTGCGCTTGGAGTAGTTCACTAAATTAGGAACTAAATCAGGAGCTTAAACGGGTTTAGGGTTTAAGGTTGAGGGTTTAAAGTTTAGGGTTTAAGGTTTAGGGCTTAAAGTTTAGGGTTTAAGGTTTAGAGTTTAAGGCTTAGGATTTGGGGTCAAGGGTTTAGGGTTTAGGTTACATTAGGCGGCCTCTGCACTTTAGTAGTTCTCTAAATCGGGGTTCCTTTCAGGGTTCCTTCAAAGGGGTCTATAATCTATAAAGGGATCTACAAGGGTTTCTATAAGGGTACTGTATGAGTAGTTCTCTAAATTAGGGTTCCTTTTAGGGTCCCTGTTACAAGAGTGAGGTACCACTATGGGGACTTCAAAGGGGGCTTTTCTTTGGCGAACTTCCTATTGGTTCCTAGGGTTTCAGGGTTAGGGTTTATGGGGGTCTTAGGGGGCCTCAGCCCCTTTTCAAGTTTTCGTCTCAAAACAACAAAGAGCTGCGTTTGATTACTTGTAAAACAGTAAGAGGTAAACAAGGCTCTGCGCTTTTGGCAGGATATGGGCTTACAGGTTGGGTTTGGCAGGGTTTGTTTGGATTTAGGGTGGTTCTGGGTTAAGGGTTCGTTAGGCTGTGGGTGGTTGCCGGTGACGAGTCGACAGACAAGACAACAGGGTTTCGTAGTTTTGGCTGTCCCTAAACCCTAGACCCTAAAACCCTAAACCCTCAACCCTAAACTGCGGAAAAGAGTGCTCAAAAAGAAACAACTCTAAACCCTAAACGCTAAACTCTAAACCCTAAACCCTAACACCCTAAACCCTCGGCCCTAAACTCTAAACCCTAAGCCCTAAACCCCAAGGGGTTCAGGGTTGACCGACCGACCTGAAGCTTCGGTCCTTAAGCCCGCAGCTAGCAATCCTACGCCTAACCCTAAGTCAGAGCCACTACGCCGAAACCCCGGCCAGTCACCAAAACCCGATACCCCGAAATTCTGGATTCCTGTAAAGGGATCTATAAGAGTACCTTTAAGGGGTGGTTCCTTTAAGGGATCTACGGGGTTTTAGGGCTTAGGGTTTGGGTTGATAATATGTGGAACTCTTCTTGGAAGCCCTACAGGCCCAACAGGACACCTTTAGAGAAGCCCTTATTCCAGAATTGTGCCTTACAGTTGCTGTGCTTTGAGCACGGATCCGTGACCTAAACCCTAAATCCCAAACCCGAAGCCCAAATCCTAAACCCCAGGCCCTAAAACCTAAACTCCAATCCCTAACGCCCAAAGCCTACAGCCGACACGAAGCTTTAAACTTCGCGAGCACAAGGTGGTGGTTTTCTGCCTGCCTACCTCCAAGGAGGACGAAGCCATCGTGGAGCAGGCTAAGGGCAGTACGGGACTCTTTAAGGTTTCCTCTAAACAGGGATCTATGGGGCTCCTTAAAGCCGGGGGTGTGGCACTAAGGATAAACCCTAAACCCTAAACCTTAAACCCTAAACCCTAAACCCTAAACCCTAAACCCTAAACCGTACTAAGGATTTTTAGTTTGGGCTTTAAAGTTTAGTGCCAGGGGTTCAGGCTTAGGTGCCTCATGGGCCCATAAGATAGGGATCTGACAGATAAGGCGTAAAGCAGAAATCTAAACCCTAAACCCTAGGCCCTAAACCCCTAAACCTCCAAGCCCTAAACCCCTAAACCCTAAACTCCTAAACCCTAAACCCCTAAACCCCTAAACTGTAGACTTTCCCAGCTCCTGCAGTTCCTGAGTGCCTTGCATAAGGGCCCAGAGATCCGACTCCCTCAAACCATTGGGGTTTAGGGCTTAGGGTTTAGGGTTTAAGGTTTAGTGTTTAGGGTTTAGGGTTTAGAGTTTAGGGTTGGGGTTTAGGGTACAGGGTTCCAGTTACCATCATAAGCAAGCCGTTTTTTGCCATATATACATGCCTGACTACTATGGTAGCTTACATTAAGTCGCTTGATGCTAGACCCCGAAAGAACCCTCGAAGGAACCCTTACTGTAGTTGAAATTGAGTTCCGCAACAAGAAGCCGCTCAAGGCCCATTCTGAGTCCCCAGACCCTGACCGTGCAGCCCTGACTAGCCGCAAACCCCAGAAGCCTCAACCCCTGAACCCCGAACCCGAAACCCCTAAAGCCCTAAGCCGCGTAGACCCCTAAACCCTAAGCCCCGTAGACCCCTAAACCCTAAGCCCCATGGACCCTAAACCCCTAAGCCGCAAGCCCTATAGACCCTACTTGGAGGATCATGGGACTTAGTAAGTAAGGTTATAAGTACCTTAATTGGGGGTTATAAGTAGTTAAAAGTATAATTGCCTTGTTTATAACCCAACTTACTAAGTCCCATGAGCCTTTAAGCAGACACCTGAACCAGACCCAAGCCCCTCGACCCTGGACTTCAACATTCAGATTCACGGTTTAGGGTTTAGGATTTAGGATGTAGGGTTTAGGGTTTAGGGTTTAGGATGTAGGATGTAGGGTCTAGGATTTAGGATTTAGGATGTAGGGTTTAGGGTCTAGGATTTAGGATGTAGGGTTTAGGGTTTAGGGTCTAGGGTTTAGGGGTAGTGGATTTAGTGTTTAGGTCTTGCCTAAGTGCAAACTTCGCACCTTGGGCTTGGAAGCCTTGAAACCGGAGCCTTCCGAAATCTATGAACCCTAGATCCAGCAAGAACCCATGAGCCCTAAACCGAAACTCGTAAATCCTAAGCTCTGGAAGGTGGCACCCCACCTGGCGCGGGATTCCTGCGTCGTTTCGTGCACCTCAGGAGCCTTCTTACACCCTTGCAGAGCTTTAGTTATGTAGTCATGTTTTCTCAACATACCCCATACTTGGAGGCCCTTTTGACTTAGTAAGTAGGGTTAGTAAGGTGGGTTATGGGGATTATAAGAGGGTTTCTAGGGGATACTAAGTAGACTTACTAAGTCAACAGGGCCTCCAAGTACAATCCTGAAGCGTAACCCGAACACCTTACTAAAATGACAAGCCCCCCATGTGTTAAACACTCCCAAACCCCGTGTCCTGACCAGCCCCTGGACCTAAACCCACAGAAAGCTCTAGCATCCTAAGGCCTTAAGTCCCAAATGCTCAAATCTGTCTAAGCCTGACCGCAACCCCCCCGATTTAAAGGAGCCCTAAACCCCGAACCGTAAACCCGATTTAAAGGAGCCCTTCAAGGAAACTGAGAATGAATCCCCGAAAGGAACCTGAAGAAACCCTCAAGGACGCATGAGCCCCACTTGGAGGATCACGGGACTTAGCAAGTAATTTTATGAAATAGGGGCTTAAATAAGTACTAATACTATTTTTGGGGTTCCCTCTTATAATATTATAATGTAACGGGCCCCAAAGCACTATTCTAATTATTAAGGCCCCTTCTTTGGGGTTAGAAGTGCTTTCATTGAATGGGTTTATAAGTTATCAGTAGTTCCAAGCATAGGAGTCCTTACCTATAAGCTTACTTGCTGAGTCCCATGATCCTCCAAGTAGACCTTAAACCCGAAACCCTAAGATCCCTTTAAGGAACCCGATAGAGCCCTTTAAGGAACCTTATTTACTGAGTCCATTTTCTTCCAAGCGTCTAGGGTATTAGTTTAGGGTTTAGGGGTTAGGTGTATAGTTTCTGGTTCAGGGGTTTGGGGTTTCGGGTTTAGGGTTTGGCGCCGCGCACCCGAAAGGCGCCCAGGAAAAGGACATGTTTGTTTATGGTTTTTTAAAAGCATCTTTTTCTCCGGCAATCCTTAAACTAAGACAACGTCTGGTCCAACAGGAGTTAAGGATGGTCATGTGTAAGGTGCTTGCAAGGATTTTATACGGGTCTTTGTAAGTCTTTGGAAGGGCCCCAGAAGGGGCTCAGGGTTTCGACTTCGGCGCCCTGGGTCGACTACAAGTGCAGCCAGCAGTGGTCAATCATCCAACTTGTCATTTTGCGGCGTTGCGAAGGAGTCACGGGCTGGGCAGGCAACTTCTGGAGCCGCGGCCATGGGGCTGCAGATGTCTCTTGAGCGTCTCCCTAGCATCTTTTGGCCCAAGTACTCCGACTCTACAACAGGGTCGGTCTGCCGGCCTCGAGATGGGCAGGAACGGGCGGCCCAAGCCTCGGTGCTCTCTATGTGTGCACCTGCAAGGCTTTGCAGAGATTTGCTTCGCGCAAAACTCTGGTTTAGGGTTTAGGGGTTTAGGGTTTAGGGGTTTAGGGTTTAGGGTTTAGGGGTTAGGGTTTAGGGTTTAGGGTTTATAATGATCATTAGTATTGCAATAAATATGATAACGACTATATGGATCATAAGTATTGTAACAAATGGCGCAGTGCAAGCAGCCAAACGTGCAAACTGACCTAGAATTCCTTGCCTGCATTCCTAAAACCCGAAGCCTAAACCCTAAACCCTAGCAGCTAAAGCCTAAACCTAAACCCTACAAGCCCTGAGCCCAAAACCCCCAAAACCCTGTAAACAGCCCTTTAAAAACCCTATGAAACCGAAACCCTTAAACCCTAAACCCTAAACCCTCTAAACCCTAAACTACAAACCTTAAACCCTCCGACTTTATTCGCAGGAGAGCCAGGTGTGACCACCCGGCTCGCGACGTCCCTGCGGGATCGCTTCGGGGTGAGCCGGGGAGTGAGTTTGTTCTTTCATGGTTTAGGGCTTAGGGTTTGGGATTCAAGGTTTAGGGCTTAGCTTAGGGCTTCCGCTTTTGAGGCTTTTGAGATGACTTCGGGATATCTGCTTGTCAAGAATACTAAGAAAGAGAGCGTCTTGAATTTCGGGGTTCAGGGTTTGGGCAGCATTGCTTGGAGGTTTAGGGCCTCATGGACGATAGGCAGCAGGGTTTAGTGTAGGGTTTAGGGATGAGGGCTTAGACTGAAACCATAAATTCTACATGTGGGTAGTTCTCTAAATTAGGGTTTTGTTTACGGTCCTTTTTAAACGGGTGCAGTGCTAGGAGTGACCCTAATTTAAAGAACCACCCATGTCTAGCCCGAAAACCTTATGAACCGGCTGTAAAGTTTAGTGTAAAATGAACCCAACTCCTGTAACCCCACACCGAAAGAGGTTAAGGGTTCAGGGTTTTAGGGTTCAGGGTTTAGGGGTTTAGGGGTTTAGGGTTTAGGCTTAAATCTCAGACCTTCAGCGCAAAACCAAATCCTCATCAACCAAAAACTTTGTTGAGCTCGTGTAAAGACTCTGGCTGGAATCCTTTATTTCCTCGAGGCCGCCCTTAAAATTCAAACCTAAGCCCTAAACCCTAAAAATAACCTCTGAAGCCTTTAGCCCCTGAACCCCTAAACCCTGAAACCCCACTAGCCTAAACCTTCCAAAATCCCTCAAGGAAGGAATAGACCTTAATTCATATTAGGGGTCCTATTATAATTTAAGGTACAATCCTTAGTCAAGGGATTTTGGAAGGTCTGGGGACCCACATTTCTGAACCCTGAAACCTCCAAGAACGGCTCCCCTGCGCCTTGTGCCCTGGAATTTAGACCCCTGAACCACTTAGAGTAGAAGCCCGCAAGTTACAACATGAGTATCCTCATGCCCTTCAGGTGAAGTATAAGGGATTCCAGCACTAATCCTCCTAAACCAATCTTCCAACTTTCTGGGCTTCGCCATAAAGATTAAAGTCGGAGCGCGCAAGATCCACTGTGCGGAGTATGTATGAGCGCTTCCGCGCTGCATTCAGGGGGTTACTTAAAGGATCATGGGACTTAGTAGGTAACTATACTTAGAAGTACTTATAACCCCAACTAAGGCACTTATAACCCTACTTACTAAGTCCCATGATCCTCCAAGTAGACCCTAAACCCTAAACCCTATAGATCCCTTTTAAGGAACCACTATAGATCCCTTTAAGGAGCCCTATAGATCCCTTTAAAGGAACCCGGAACCCTATAGAACCCCAGATTCAAGGGTTTAGGATCCTCCAAGTAGGGTTCAGAGATTTGGCAAGCCTGCCTTGGTCAGGGCTTGGGGCTTTAAGGGTTTGGGCTTGAGAGTTTAGGGGTTGAGGGGTTGAGGGTTTAGGGTTTAGAGTTTAGGGGTTTAGGGGTTTAGGGGTTGAGGGTTTTAGGGCTTTAGGGCTTTATGGTTTAGGGTTTTAGGCTGTAGGGTTTAAGAGTTTAGGGCCGTTTAGGGCAAACATTCCAGTAAAGTACAAGCCAGAAGTTGGAATATGATTATCCTAAACCCTTTATGGCAAATTATAAGGTATCCTACCCTGAAACCATATTCCAACTTTCTGGAGTTCCCTTTAGAAGTAGCTTCCCAGATAGTTCGACTCTTAGTTAGTTGCTGCCCTCACCCGAAACCCTTCATGTAGTATCAGGGGTTTAGGGTTTAGGGTTTAGGGTACCCAGACCTTCCAAAATCCCTTAATTCATATTAGGGATCCTATGATAATTTAAGGTATATTCCTTAATTAAGGGATTTTGGAAGGTCTGGGTAGTAACCCTGATAGTAATCCTTCTGGAAACCTTTCCTTAAAGGGAACCTTTATAGGATTTCCGGAGGCAAAACCCTTACTATATGGGCCTAAATGATTACCTGTACTATTTTGGGGTTTCCTTATTATAAGTATATCGTAGCATACTGGGCACAAAAACTTTATTCTACCCAAACAGGCCAATACCCCCTTAATCAAGGAATATGGCTTACATTATTTAGGCTTCATATTATGATTTAGGCTATATTCCTTAATTAAGGGGTATTGGCCTCTCTGGGTAATTGTTAAGACCCCTATATTAACCCTAAGCTCTGAGCCAGGTACACTTCCTGGATTGCCCCGTCAGCGGTGGCCCCAAGGGAGCTGCAGCAGGCATTCCCGGGACCCAATCGGGCTCGGAGTGTCTTAAATGGATCCTGTCAGAGTTGCTGTAAGGGTGTCACATGGTTTGGGGTTTAGGGTTTAGTGTAGATTTAGGGCTGAGGCTTTCGATTTGATAGGGGTTTAAAAAAGACATATTCCCTGTCAAATTCATGTCGATCCTTTCATAAATATCCCTTACAGCGCCTTCACAGAGCCGGCCCGAAACCCTAAACCCAAAGCCCTAAACCCCAAACCCTGAACCTGAAACCCTAAATCCGAAACCCTAAACCCTGAACCCTGAACCTTAAACTCTAAATCCGAAACCCTACGCCCAAAACCTTGTAAACCTTCACGGAGGCTCCCTGACTTGCATGCTGGGCAGCGACAGCGACGATGCTGCCGAGTCGGTGATGCCCTTCCTGGACAGCTTCGCCAAGAAGGTAGGGTTGAGGGTTTAGGGTTTGGGGCTTAGGATCTAGGGTTTGGGGTTTAGGGTTTGGGGCATTGGTTCCAACATCGCTTTTCAGCTAGCTTCGCCAACAGGGCACTGGTATCGGAATGGTGCAACATTGCATGAAGGTGCATGGGTTATGCAAGAAGGCACTGATATGGGCATTGGTTTAACTTCGCTTTGTCAGGCATTCTTGCATAGAGGTGCATGCCTTTTTTTTGTTTTTCGGTTCGAGATGGCAAGAAGGCAACCAAGGTTGAGAGTCTGGGACTTTGAGAATTTGAGACCCTGTTATCTCGGGTTTGAAATGAATGGTTTGCGGTTAGATCCGATAGCATACTGTATCATCCCTTCGTTCCCTACTCTGGACCAACAAGTTTTTGGAGTCTTTCTGGTTGCTTTGATGCAGTGCAGGATTTACGATAAATGGCAGAGGTTGGTGGTACATACACCCCCGATCGTATCTCTCTGAACCCCTTAAGCCTTGAATGCAAGGCTTCCTCATTTAAATCTACTTTAATCTACCACGAAAGCCTTAATCGAAAATGTGCCTTCTGGGCGTTGGATCCAGGAACCCTCCTTTGAAGAATATACCTCAAGTTCCTGGTTGTGTAAGGTTTGATGGAGTTTTATAGTTTTATAAGCATTTTTTCCACAGGAATATGCCTTAAACCATAGATATAGAGCCTGCTGTAATTTCAGGTATAGTCCTTATTCAAAGTTTAAACCTAAACCTAAGCTCTAAACCATGAACCCTGAACCCTAAACCTTAAACTCTAAACCCTAAACCCTAAACTCTAAACCCTGAACCCTGAACCCCAAGACCCTACATCAAGGGTATCGGGATTTCAGGATACCATGATGAGATCGGGCTCCCAGAGGGGCCCCTTAAAGCATGGGAATAATTTAGGGTTCAGGGTCTAGGTCTAGGGTTTAGGGTCTAAGTTTTTTTGGGTTTAGGGTTTAGGGTCCAGGGTTCAGGGTTTAGGGTGGGTCTAGGGTTTAGGGTTTAGGGTCTAGGGTTTAGGGTTGAGGGTCTAGGGTTTTGTTGGGGTATCTTAAAGTATCATTGCATCGGAACTATCGGGATACTGCAACTAAGTCTTCAAAGCCCTATACTCGAATTCTTTGTGTCAGGGCCTTAGGGCTTCGAGTGTGGGGTTGGTGTTTTGGGGTTGCGGGGCCTTGAACTCCAAAACCCTACTTGGAGGCCCTTTTGACTTAGTAAGTCTACTTAGTATCCCCTAGAAACCCTATTATATTCCCCATAATCCACCGTACTAACCCTACTTACTAAGTCAAAAGGGCCTCCAAGTAGACCTTATCACCCTAAACCCCCAAGCCCTCGAACCCTAAGCTTTATATTCCAATCTCAAAACCTCAACCCGCAAACTCTAAAACCCTAAACTGTAAGCCTCAAACAGCGACTCTAAACCCTAAACCCTAAACCCTAAACCCTGAACCGAGTTGGGGTTTTGGGGTTGCGGGGCAGAGATTCACTTCGAGTTTCAAGTCCTTCGGCCTTCAGTCCGGAACCCTCTTTGGGGCTTCGGGATTTGATACCACCATCACATGTGGGTGGGTTGTCAAAATTAGGGTTCCTTTGTGGGTACCCTAAATACTAGGTGCCGTATCATAATAGGGACCCAAAAAAGGACCATAATTTTGACAACCATCGCATGTGGCTTTTGCCCTTATATGGCCTGAACCGCTTTAGTCTCAATTTTTTAGGTCCTGTCGTACCGAAGCTCGAACTCCAGAGAACCCATGGTGTAGCCGAAGCTAAACACTAAACCTAAAGCCCTTGGGTCTCAGCATTTGATAAGTTGGGTTGTGGGGTTTGGGATTAAGGGTGCAAGTAGGCCGTGGGACATTATGTATTTTCCTTTTGTTGGGTTAGGAGGATCTTATTCGCGATTTTTGGAGGGCTTTCAAGGACGCGGCTAGGGTTTGGGTTTTACACTTGACGAGTTTGGGTTTTAGGCTTGGGAAAGGTTAGGGTTCAGCTGCTAAGACCTGGGGTTCTTCCTTCGTTTATAATCTGCAAAGCCAGCCCCCCAAGCCTCCTTGTTAGTGTTGGCTTTGACATGTCCGCAAATTTCGGGTTTAATGTGGGAGCTACAGTTCCGAGAAGCCGTAAACCTTAAACTAAACCCTGAACCCTGAACCCTAAACCCTAAACCTCAAGCCTTCATGAAATTTTGGCACTCGCGACCCGGCAAATAGCCTGCGTACAGACTCTATGGATCCCACAACCCTCATAGACTAGGATGCCCAGTAGTACCCTTATTCCCTTTTTGTAGTCCTAGGTTCCTTATAAAGTTACCCAATACCAAAAAAAAGAGGCCTTTTTATTCTTAGGTTACTGAGTATCCTCATAGACGCCAAGCCTCCTGGAGCGTTTTGATGCCTGCCCTTCGGCTCCTGCACCCTCGTAGTGGTGAGCATGACCGCAAATCCGACACCCTAAACCCTAACCCCAAGAAAGCCCATGACCCCAAACCCTAAATCCTAAACCCCAAACCCCACGCCCATGAGCCCATTTAGCCTTAGGGTGGACTTAAAATCCTGGGCTCTACGACCCAGGTGCCGAGGAAGCTTCACACATTTTAAGGCTATAGTTAGTATACAATGTTTATGACAACTACTACCATAGTTATGACAATTTAAAGTAGTTACGAAAAATACATTTGCAGGAATAGCTGTAATTAGGGGCTCGAGAATGGGTACTGATGCTGCCTCTTCGTCTCTTTATACTGCTGCTAGAGCTGTGCCCCAGAGCCTTCTACTCAGAAGGCCAGTACACAAGACTGTAGCATTAAAGCACCTATAAGCAGCAACAGAAAGCCCCACCCTGACACTGTAGTATCATAAAATCCATAAGCCCTAAACCCTAAACCACTTTACAGCCCCTCTGTAATTCTTTGCAGATGCAGGTCGTCCGTTGCGGGCCGGCTGGGGCAGGGCATGCGGTAAAGGCTCCGGGGAGAGCATGCCCGGGCTGTTGGTTTCGGGTTAAAATTGCAATTACAATATATTTATAAGTATATATATATATATATATTGTAAGTATTGCTATAGTTACTATAACTGCAGTACTACAAAGATTGTAAGTATTGTGACAATTGTCATAAACATTATATTTATTACGCTTCTTATGCTTAGAATGGATTTTCTAAGGTTCCCTAAATCCTGAGCCCCTTGTTTTCGAAGCCGCACAAACCCCAGAAAACTTTCTTGGGCTGGATGACTGAGGGTTTCGCAGCGTTGTGTCTGAGTTTGATAAGGGTCTTGAAGGAGTTCGTTCTCCTACTGATCAAGGTTTCGTTTGGAGTTTGGGGTTTAGGGTTTAGGGCTTGACTTAGTGTTTGCTTTCACGAGTGCTTGTAAGTCTCTTGTTGAGGAGAATCGTGATTGTGGCTTTGTCTTTTCTTTTTTAGGGGTGGTTTAAGGGGTCCTGGATTCCAAAATAGAAAATTTGTCCCCATGAACCAGAAGCGTTTTCGAACAACATGTTTAGGAGTTTGGGCTTTAGGGATGTTTAGGGTTTAGGGGTTTAGGGTTCAGGATTTAAACCCTAAACCGTTTCTCTGCCCGAAGCCCTTCTTCCTCACACGTGAGCCTCATAGTCCCAAGTCCTAAACCCCGATGGTTTAGGGTTTACTTGAAGGACCATGGGACTTAGTAAGTGGGGTTATAAATAAGGTAACTATACTTATAAGTACTTATACCCCCAATTAAGGCGCTTATAACCCTACTTACTGAGTCCCATGATCCTCCAAGTAGACCCTAAACCCTAAACCCTATAGATCCCTTTTAAGGAACCACTATAGATCCCTTTAAGGAGCCCCTATAGATCCCTTTAAAGGAACCCTATAGGACCCTAGGTTCCAGGGTTTAGCCTGAAGCCCTAGACCTCGAACCCCAAACCTCAAACTCCAAGCGTTGCTAACGCCCCAAACCCGTAAAGCCCCTAAAGCCCTAAAGCCCTTAAAGCCCTAAACCCTAAACCCTAAACCCTAAACCCCTAAACCCTAAACCCTAAACCCTAAACCCTAAACCCTAAACCCAAAACCCCCTAAAGCCCCAAAATCCTCAAACCCCAAGCCCCAAACTCCAAGCCCTCGGCCCTTCAGTCTAAACCTCTTCTTTTGCGATTGAAGTCCGGTTTTGAGGTTTGGGGGATAAGGGGTTTGGTGGTTTATTGCTTTAGGGCATTGGGGTTTAGGGTGGATTAGGGGCGTAGGATGGAGTAGGGGTGTGGGGTTTGGGGGTTTGAGGGTTTGGGGTCTAGGGCTTTAGGGCTTTAGGGCTTTATGGGGTTTATGCGATTAGGGGATTTAAAGCCTTGGAGTTTGGGTCTAGGGGTTTAGGCCCTACACATCCTTCCGTGCAGGCCGTGAACAATGCCCTGAACGTCCCTGGCATGCAATGTGAGCTCCGTAGGTCCCCCCGCCCTGGGGCTTGGGGTTGAGGGTTTGGGGGGGTTGAGGGTTTGGGGGCTCGGGGGGGGGGGGGGGTCTTTTTTGGGGTGTTCTAGTCACACTACAACCCTAAGCGGTAAAGCGCAGAGCTGCAGTTCTGGTGGCAGTTGCAGGAGTGGTAGTAGGTAGTTGTGGTGGAAATAGTAGAGATCGCGGGCGTCGCCGCCATCGTCTCGCTTTTGTCGTAGTCGTCGTAGCAAGATCCCTGAAAAACCAGCGCCCAAACCTTGGAACCAGAAACCTCAACGCTCCAAACCTTAAGCCTTACTTGGAGGCCCTTTTGACTTAGTAAGTCTACTTAGTATCCCCTAGAAACCCTATTATAATCCCCATAGCCCACCTTACTAACCCTACTTACTAAGTCAAAAGGGCCTCCAAGTAACCCCTGCAGAAAGAGTTTTTGAGCCCCTTGAAGCCCCAGAAAGGCAATCACTACTCCTTGGGGAATCTACCTCAAGGCCCTTTTCTCGCTATTTAGGCTCCTACTTGGAGGCCCTTTTGACTTAGTAAGTAGGGTTAGTAAGGTGGGTTATGGGGATTATAAGAGGGTTTCTAGGGGATACTAAGTAGACTTACTAAGTCAACAGGGCCTCCAAGTAGAGCCTAAGCCCCCCAAAGCCTTAAAGTCCCATAAAGAATCCTTATCGAGCCCTTGAGCAGATGATTGAAGTACCCTATTCTAATCACCAAGGCCCTAAACCCTTACAGACCCCTTAAAGGCACCCTGCAAAGGAGGAACCCTAGATGAAGGCTCCTATACTTCACACATCAAAGTCAAGACTAAACAAGCCCTAAATCGTTAACTCAAGCCCTAAACCCGAAACCCTAAACCTTTAGGGCCCTGAGTTTAACCCGCAACCCCGGGGCCTAAAGCTTTCAATCCCAAATCGTAGGCTCCTCATGTAAGATACTTAAAGAAGGGTTTAGGGCTCAGGGTTCAGGGTCTGGGGATTTTGAGAGAACCAGTAAGTTCAAGAAGCCAGGTTCCCACTTCTGTGTAGGTGTTCGGATATGGGTTGTAGGCTTTACGCTTCCGGACCTGGATTAAGTATGTGCTTCGGGGAGTGTGGGTCACGAATGTAGCACGAAACCCCATAAAGCCCAAACCCTGAAGCCCGCACCCTAAACGCCGAATCCTGAACCCGAAACCGCTTGGTATCCTTTTTTACTTCTTCGGCGGCTGGGCGGGACTGGTCCAAGGAAAGAGCGAGTCAACATCGTTTCGAAGGTTCTGGTTATAAGGGTTTACATATGGGTGGTTGTCAAATCATGGTCCCTTTTTAGTACGGCACCTAATATTTAGGGTGCCCAAAACAGGACCCTAATTTTGATAACCACCCATATGCGTTTGGGATGGTTTCGGCTTCACGTCTCAGGGCTTCAGGGGAAGATTCTCAACCGCAGACTCACGGGCTACCCATGCGCTAGACCCGGACATAAACCAATAAACTCAGCATCCTGAGCCATCAAACTGTTTCGGTGCGAATCGAGCCATGCGCCGAAGCCTGTTCTTCGGGATCCGAGTCCCCTCCGTGTAGCCCTCGACATGCTGCACATTCGTGCAGTGTCGGGTGAAGCACTCGTTTCTCTGGACTTGGCGAGCTTTCACGAGACGCTTCCTGCAGGCATGTCGCCAGTTCGTGCATTGAAGCAGCACTTGCGCAGTATGTGCGGGCAGCCAAGGTTCAGGCAAAGATTGGCATTTCTGCAAGATGGTGTGGTTTTGGATGACGAACAAACACTACGCCCTGGCGAAGTTCAGCTCATCCTACTAAGCTTCTGCTCAGCTTCGGCCATAGAAGTTGGCGCACTTCGGGATGCTGCAAGACGCGGCTCGACATCGGAAGTGGAGAACATCCTACAAAGGGCTCAGGACCCAGATTTGGGGGAACCGCCGCCGCTGATAGTGGCATCCGAGCACGGGCAGTTGGAGGTTGTGCGCCTCTTGCTGGAGGCACTGGCAGACACGGAAAAAGCCACGAACGACGGCTGCACCCCTCTGTACATTGCAGCTCAAGCAGGGCAGTTGGAGGTTGTGCGTCTGTTGCTGGACGCCAAGGCCGACAAGGACAATGCATTGGATGACGGCTGCACCCCTTTGTTCATTGCAGCTAAGGAAGGACGGCTGGATGTTGTGCGCGTCTTGCTGGAGGCAATGGCAGCGATGGACAAAGCCGAGAATGATGGCGCCACTCCTTTATTCACTGCAGCTCAAGAAGGACAGTTGGAGGTTGTGCGCCTCTTGCTGCAGGCAAGGGCGGACAAGGACAGCGCAATGAATGATGGCAACACCCCTCTGAACATTGCAGCCTGGGCGGGGCAGCTGGAGGTTGTGCGCCTCTTGCTGCAGGTAGGGGCAGACAAGGAAAAAGCCGCGGACGACGGCTGCACCCCTCTGTACATTGCAGCTCAAGTGGGGCAGTTGGAGGTTGTGCGTCTGCTGCTGGACGCCAAGGCCGACAAGGACAATGCACCGGATGACGGCTGCACCCCTTTGTTCATTGCAGCTAGGGAAGGACGGCTGGATGTTGTGCGCGTCTTGCTGGAGGCAATGGCAGAGATGGACAAAGCCGAGAATGATGGCGCCACTCCTTTATTCACTGCAGCTCAAGAAGGACAGTTGGAGGTTGTGCGCCTCTTGCTGCAGGCAAGGGCGGACAAGGACAATGCCATGAATGATGGCAACACCCCTCTGAACATTGCAGCCTGGGCGGGGCAGCTGGAGGTTGTGCGCCTTTTGCTGGAGGCACTGGCAGACAAGGAAAAAGCCGCGAACGACGGCTGCACTCCATTGTCCATTGCAGAGCGGCAAGGCCAGTTCGATGTTGTGCACCTCTTGCGGGAAGCAATGACAGACCAGGACTCTGCCAGATCTGCTCTCAGGAAGAGGCCGAGGTTGCTATCGTGACAGGGCCAAGGTCAGCAATAATCGCACCCATCGCCTTCACCTCAGCTGAGCGCAGACTGTTTGGAGGCAGCGCAACTTCATGAATGCCAACGGTGACATGCAGAAAGTGGCAGCCAACTTAAGCTAGCAAGGGTCACGTGAGTCCAACTTGCGAGTCGTTCTCTAGACAAGCCCAAGAAGCCTGCAAAGCCGAAAGCCCGCAGCCCCAGCCCTAAGCCCTAGACCCTGAAAGCCTGAAACCTGCAAGCACCGGCTTTCACTAATCATTATGATGATAATCCCTAAAAAGGCGCGAAAGAGCCAAGGGAACCCCCAAAACTGGTTAGCTCACCCAGCAAATGCTGAAGCCGTAAAGCCCCCAGAGCCCTCAACTGCAAATCTATGGCTTGACCCACGAGAAGTTACAGAGTCACTTGAACCTCTGAAGCCCCTCATACCAGCTTGATCTTTTTTTGGGCCCTTCCGCATCTAAGCCTCAAAACCTAGACCCTAAACCCGCAACCCAACTAAACCGTCACCGAAACCCAGCCTAAACCACAGACTCGGTTGAAGCAAAGGGAGCCGGAGTCAACCTCGTAGCTTTCGTAAGTTACTCTGCGCGGGCAGCATAAGCTAATGAGAGCACATCTGCGTATACCTCTACTTGAAGGATCAGGGGACTTAGTCAGTCGTGATGAGTTAGCTCGCATGTGATTTTTCGTTGCTTATAACCTGCATACCGAGTCTCCACCAAAAGCTGGATCAGCTTGCAGATTCCAAGAACCGTAGTCCCTAAACCCCAGGTCGGGCCCAGATTCCAAGCAGTTTGTATCAGCGAAATGGGTTCGGCGGGGCGCTAAACCCTAAATAAACCTTAAACCCCAAAGCACCCCCTGTTTGCTTGTATGGCTTTGACCCTCACGGCTTGCGAAAGTAGGCCTAGTAGTAGAGTAGGTAACCTTTCACCTTTTTGGGGTAGTATGGTCCTTATATAATCCCTATATAACCAAAAAGGTTATCCTTTAGTTCCCCATGATACCCGACAAGTAGGTAGGGTTTTTTGGTTCAGGGTTTAGGAACGGGTTTCGCAAAGCAGCAATTCCTTCACGTTGCCTCCAAGAGCAGGAAACGGCTTCTAGAAGGGTCCTTGAAGGTGGCTATAAGGGTGACAAGAGGGACCCTAAACCCTAAACCCTAAACCCTAAACCCTACACCCTAAACCCTAAACCCTAAACCCTAAACCCTAAACCCTAAACCCTAAACCCTAACCCCGTTCAAGAAGGATTCTACAAGCGCCGTGTTTATGGTCTTATAAGGGCACCTTTTGGAGTCCTAGAAGGGTTCTCCCAGGGTCGCATCCGAGAGTTCTCTCAGGTTTTCGAAAATTGGGGGTACCTTAATTTTGCGGTCCTTATGATAAGGATCCTACTATTTCGGGTACTATCTGAGGCTCCCCTACTCTCTGGATTTCGGTTTCTGCGGTTCGGAGTTTTCTGATTGTGCGTTTAGCCCTAAACCCTACATCCTACACCGTTTGTGCACCTGTGTGACACAAACTTGTGTAACCACCACTGATGGCCCAACGAAGAAGTCAAAGCAGCATCCTAATGTAGGGGCCTTAATAATCAAACTAGGGTTTTGGGGCCCATAATACTTTATTTATAAGTAGGGAACCCCCAAAATAGTATTGGTGATTGTTTAGGCTCCTCTTGGAGGCCCTGTTGACTTAGTAAGTCTACTTAGTATCCCCCAGAAACCCTATTATAATCCCCATAGCCCACCTTACTAACCCTACTTACTAAGTCAAAAGGGCCTCCAAGTACTGTTTGAGGGTTTAGCGTTTGGGCTGAAGGGCTGACGGCCGATTTCAGTTTCTTCATCCTCCGGTCCCAATCTTCGGTATTATGGTTGATCATATAAATCCTGCATTACCTTAATGACCCTAGGCTATGGGAACTATGGTATATTCTTTACTATGGGTAATGCAGGATTTGTATCATCAAGCGTAATGCCCTTCAGTCGGAAGCGGCTTGATCAAAGCTGATTGGAGTAGCTCAGGGTGGGGTGGCAATAGCTTACCCTAAGCCCTCGACACTAAACCGTTGAAATTTGTTAGGTCTTAATTCCAAGGCCTGTATAGATCAATGTTGGAACGCGGAACGGTGCAGGGCTCTTCATATAGAAGCCCAGCTGACCTAAACTTTTTGGCCCTAAAGCTTGTGGGCGAGTGTGGGCTCGTTCTACATAAGCGCCAAGCAACTTGTGAATGGTCTCGTAAACCCTGAAATCAACGCACCCTCAATGCTTCAATCCCATGCACCCCTACTTGGAGGCCCTGTTGACTTACTAAGTCGACTTAGTATCCCCCAGAAACCCCAATATATCCCCATAACCCACCTTACTAACCCTACTTACTAAGTCAAAAGGGCCTCCAAGTAAACCCTAAACCCTAAACCCGGAGGCCTGGTTCAGTTCAGCTTTAAAAAAACCCGGAGGCCTTAAGCCCGAAAACGCGGCCTGAGCCCCTCAACCCTTAACCCTATGCCCCCAATCCTGAACCCTAGAGGCCTAGAGACCCCCCGAGCCCGTTTACTAGGACCCAGCGTAAGCCCTTATTCCCTTTTTCAGGGTTCAGGTTCCCGTATGACACCCTTTCTACCAAAAAAGGGCGCCCTTTCTATTCCTAGGTTCCTCTTGGGTCTAGTTTCGATCTCTTCTAGAATTCTCCTAGAGGCCCCAGTCGGCCCTAGACGCATTCTTGACCCACCAAACCCCCTAAAGCCTAAGGCTCTTGCCAGAAAGATACAAAGCATGATCCTTAAGGGAAAATACTAAGCCACAAATCTTGTTTTGGGTGTTTAAGCTATTTTTCGAAAAGATTTCTTCGAGTGTTGTACTCCAAGGTGTACATTCCCGTTTCGAGCTCTTCTCGAATCTTCTGGAACCCCTGTACTCCCCTTACCCACCCAGACAGCCCAATACCCCTTAATTAAGGAATATGGCTTAAGTTATAAGGGGCTTCATATTATGATTTAAGCTATATTCCTTAATTAAGGGGTATTGGGCTCTCTACCCAAAACCCTAAACTGTGAGGCTCCAAAGGGGTGTTAACGTAGGGGTACTTAGAAATATGTTTTATGTTTTGCTTCCTATAATTCCTAAGAAGCAGCTAAAACTGTAATTTTGGCTGTAAGGTCGGTATAGTAAAGCTCAGGTCACCCACAACCCTAAACCTTAAACCCTAAAGGCCAAACCCTAAACCCCTAAACCCCTAATCCCCAAAACCCCAAACCCCCAAAATCCCTAATCCCCTAAACCCTAAACCCAAAAGCCCCAAAACCCTAAACCCTATAAGCCCCCGAAATTCAAAGCTGAGGTCACCCACCTCCTCCTCGGTGCAGAGGGGCTTTTGGCCCTCCAGCGCCTGGGCGTGGACCCGCCCCCCGGGCCGCACTTGGCTTTTCTTTAGGGTTTAGGGTTTAGGGGATTAGGGTTTAGGGGATTAGGGTTTAGGTTTTAGGGGTTTAGGGTTTAGGGGTTTAAGGTTTAGGGTTTAGGGTTTAGGGGTTTAGGGTTTAGGGTTGTTTTCAATTCTATTGTTTGTGCGTTTTTCTTGTAGGTTGTTCAAAGTTTATTTCTTCTGTTTTTCATGTGCTCCCACAAGGCTTGAACAAGGGCTGCTACGGGTTCTTTATGCAGTTTGGGGTTTGTAAACTGATTTCTAGCGTTTAGGGGTTTGGGAAGTGAGTGCTTGGGGTGTGTGGATTCGGAGGTTGGCGCAGGATTTGGCTTATTGGTTTGGCTTCAGAGTTGGGGTTTTGGATTTCGGGATAGTTGTTTAGGATAGAGCCTTTGCATCGATACAAAGCCCAATCAAAGAGTAAAGGTTTAGGGTTTAGGGTTTATGGTTGGATGTGGTGTTGGCTTAGAATCAGGGGTGAGTAAGAAGGTTGCTGCAGTTGTGTGTCATCTAACAGAACATGTATGGTCGCATTGTCTACCTACTCAGCAAGTCCCCGGATCTTAAAAGCTTTGTAAAGCCCTCTTAATCTTATGAGCTTTGAGGGTTTAGAGTTTAGGGTTGAGGGTCTCCTTATACCGACAGCGCGGTCACGCAAGCAGACGCAAGACGAATGGCCGGGGCACTGGCAACCGCGAGTCCTACGACCTGCTCTACTACGACCACAGGCAGCATGGATACTTCTTCCCGGCCGAAGGCTGTGGACCTGCCCGCTATGGACTAAGGACGGCCTCAGCCTTGTGCGACCGGATCTTCTACCAGTAGACCCTCCAGAGCGACTGCGAGCGAGTGGGACTGAGGCGTGCCTCCCGGCGTTGGGCGTGAGGTTCTCCTCTGCCTGGTGCTGTGCCCCATCCGAGAACTCACCACTTGGAGGCCCTTTTGACTTAGTAAGTCTACTTAGTATCCCCTAGAAACCCTATTATAATCCCATAACCCACCTTACTAACCCTACTTACTAAGTCAAAAGGGCCTCCAAGCACTGCAGTTTGCCACTCACTCATCTGCTGTTAGCCGACATTGCAGGAGCCATGGCACGCCCTGCCGGATTCGCCATCCCAAGCTGTGCCCTTCCCTCCCCGGGAGCCAAGGAGCCAGGGATGATGATAATCCCTATCAAATAAGGAGCTGAAGAGCTGGTTAGTTAGCCCCGGAGCCAAAAAAAGCCCCAAGGATCGCCCTAAACCCCGCGCGCCCACAAGCTTCACCCTGAACTAGGGTATTTAGGGTAGTTAGGGTATTTAGGGTATTTAGGGTTTAGGGCATTTAGGGTTTAGGGTTAGGGCCACAAGCCCTAAACCCTTCAACCCTACCTGTAAACCTCAAACTAGGGTTTAGGATTCAGGGCTTACAGGTTTAGGGTTTGTGATTTGGCGTTTGAGATCTGGAATTCACACAGTAACCTAGTAGTAGAGTAGGTAACCGTCAACATTTTTGCGGTACTATAAGCCCTATATGAAACCAATATGCTCCAAAAGCTTAACCTTCAGATCACCACAGTAGAAGCCCAAAAGCTGGACATCCAATAGCCTCAAGCCGTAAGAGTAATGTATAGGGAATCCCAGCACTAACTGTCCTTAATGAGGTTTCTAACTTTTTGAGGTTTACTTTAAAGCTTACATAACATAAGGGCCTGAATAATTAGAATAGGGGTTCCTTTAAAGGGTTCCTTTCAAGGGATATGGGGAAGATTGCAACTCCAGAGCAAACATCGCAGCATGGAGCCTGCAACTTGCAGCCTTGACACTTTTTAGGGTTTAGGATTTAGGGCTTAGGGTTTAGGGTTTAGGGTTTGGGGTTTAGGGTTTAGGGTTTAGGGTTTAGGGCTTAGGGCTTAGGGTTTAGGGTTTAGGGCTTACTTGGAGGATCAGGGGACTAAATATGGTCTGTAGGCGTGTTAAAGCGTTTCTATACTTAGGGTGAAGGGGGCTTAGCAAGTAAGGTTGTCAGGATCTGCATTGGCTTATAAGTAACTATAGGATATGAAAATAGGTATAGTTACCATATGTATAGTTCTAGGTGCTAAGCCCCATAATCCTTTAACAGTAAACCTTGTCCTAGCCGCAGTATCGAAGCGGGAGTAGCTAGTAACACCATTCGACATCAATCGAGCTCCTGTTAAAGGAGGAACCCACTTTTGAGGGATTTCTACCAAACCCTGAACCCTAAACCCGAAACCCTGAACCTAAACCCAGGACCCTAAACTCTAAACCCACAAAACTCGACCCGAACTCTTCAAGCCTGAGCCATGGACCTTCAACCCTTGAACCTAGGGTTTCAGGGGTTGGGGTTGTGAGCACTCTCTGCGTAGGGTTTAGGGTTTAGGGTTTAGGGTTTGTCCTGGAGTCTTGAGGAGGCAAGAAGCAAGAACTGCCGAAGAAAAAAAGGACGCTTCCCAGGCCAACCGCTGTTGGACACAAGACCTTCAAGCCTCACATCTGCATAATGTAGGGGCCGTAATAGTTTGAACAGGGTTTGGGGGTATATTACGTATTCTTCAAGTAAAATACGGAAACCCCAAAAGCCTATTCTAATTTTTTTACGGCCCTTCGTACCTCTACCAAAGCCCCATGTCCAACGCCATTTCAGGCAGGTTGCCCTTGAGGCCATCAATGGCCGGGCCCTGAGGTTCCAGTTTGAGTTTGGGGTTTAGGGTTTAAACCCCAGCTGCGTTGAAGCCCTTCATAGGAGAGGCGGTCATTGATCAGGGTCTTGCGCACCCTGGACCCTGAATCCTAAAAAGCTCTAATTTGTAACCTCATAGAACCCATATACGCTTATAGAATTATACTTCGGCAGCGATTTCTTTTAGAAAGCCTGCATAGACCTTCAAAAAGCTTTTGGTAGAGGGGTTCAAGTATTGGGGTAGTGAAACCAGTGCATCTGAATCCTAAACCCCCAAAAGCCCACCCGCAGACGCATAGAACCCTGGTAGGAGCACAAGCACCTCGGTTTTTAGAGTTTCGGGCAGCGGTGTAAGGAGAAACAGGACCGCGAAGCATGATAAAACAAGCTCATCATGAGGATTAGCGCAAGAATATCGAATAGTTCTATCAAGCATGTTAACAGTCCTCGCAGCAGATGTTCTAGATCCCGCAGAGAGAAACTTTTCCCGGCAGAGTGAACAGATACCTGGACCGGAATAAAAGCCTTTCAGAGGTGTTGGGCCATTATTTTACCTACTTTGGGGGGGTCTAAACCCTAAACCCTATACCCTAAACCCAGCGCGGTGTCACAACCGCCAGCTGCCCGCCACCCGGAAGCTGCTCCCGGAGCAAGATAATGTAGGAACCTGATTAAGAAATCCGGGTTTAGGGTTTAGGGTTCAGGGTAAAATAGTTTCAATGATTAAAGGAGCCCAAATAAAGGCCCAAGGTTTCTTAATCAGGTTCCTACATTATCCTGAACACAAGCCTTCCGAAGCCTCATCCTGGAGCCCAAACCGCTGTACCCCAGATACCAAAAATCCTAAAGCCAGCCCTTTTACCCGAGCCCCCGCGAACCATGAATTAGTTCCTAAACCCTTCAACCCAAAACCTCTCACCCCACACTACCCCACTACCGCACTACCGCAGTACCACGGTACCACGGTACCACGGTACCACAGCACCACAGTATCACAGTACCACACTACCACAGTACCACACTACCACACCGCCACACTCCCACTCTACCACTCTACCACTCTACCACACTCCCACTCTACCACTCTACCGCTCTACCACTCTACCACTCTACCACTCTACCACTCTACCACTCTACCACTCTACCACTCTACCACTCTGCCACTCTGCCACTCTGCCACTCTACCACTCTACCACTCTACCACTCTACCACTACCACTCTACCACTCTACGACCGTACAACTACCACGACAACGACAACGACCACTACCACTACCACGACGACTACCCTTACTACTACTACTACTACTACTACTACTACTACTACTACTACTACTACTACTACTACTACTACTAATCAGAACACTATGATTCTCTGTGACAATAAGCCAAGCCGATGTCCGAAGCTGTGGCGAACTGGATGGCTTTTCACAGCATGCACGAGGCTTGCATGTCACGGCTTTCCATCTCGCATTCCGTCGGCTGCCGCGTTCATATACACAGGTGCAAGCCGTTTCTTTGGTCAATGGACGCCCAGTGGAGGCTGACCCTGTTCTTGTCTGGAAGCCAATTGGGTCGAAGTTCTTCCTTTGCACCCACGCTTTCTTGACTGTGCTGCTGAAAAGTTTCGCCGGCCAGGATGCACAGAACTACGTCGACAGCCAGCTTGCCCAGATGCGCGCCAGCGGTGCCGTGGTTCGTCCGAAGCCAGCTTATGGCGGTTCGCGGCAGCATCTGAGTTTGGTCGACGGCGTGGCAATGCAAGCCGAAGAGATGGCTACTGGCGAGAATGCAAAAGCAAATGTCCCTACGCCCCAAAACCAGAGTCCTAAGCCAAAAAGCCCGTATTACCCGATAACTGGAGCCTAAACCGCAAAGCCCAGAGCCGTAAGCCTTAATCCCTAACCTCTAAACCCAAAGACCCGCTGCCCTAAACCCTAGACCCTGCCCGCAGCACCTAAACTTACCCTAAAACTTTAAACCCTAAACCCTAAACCTTAAACCCCTAAACCCTGAACCCTAAATCCTAAACTCTTAAATCCTAAAACCTTACCAGCCCTAAACAAAAAACCTAACTTAACATAGCTTAAATCATAATATGAAGCCCCTTGTAATTTAAGCCATGTTCCTGAATTTAGGGGTATTGGGCTCTCTGGGAACTTGTGAGCTTACTAAGTCCCATGATCCTTTAAGTAGACCCTAAACCCTAAAACCCTATAGATCCCTTTAAGGAACCCCTATAGATCCCTTTTAGGAGCCCTTTAAAGGAACCCTTACTCCCTAACCCCCACACCCTATACACCCTACACCCCCCCTAAACCCTATAGACTCCTTAAAGGAACCCTTAATAGTACCCTTTAAAGGAAGCCTAGGAACCCTAAGAATCCTTTAAAGGAGCCCTACACCCTAAGAGGTTCCAGTGGCCGCTCACTGCAGACGGAGCAACGCCTGCCGCAGGTGCGGAGCTGCACGTCTCCTTACCTAGGGACCCAAAAGGGAGCTGAGGGCTTTTGGGGTTTAGGGTTTAGGGTTTAGGATTTAGGGTTTAGGGTTTAGGGTTTAGGGTGTCTCCTTACTTTTCGAAGGGTAAAAGGAGGGACCCTTTAAAGGGCTCCTAAAAGGGATCTATAGGGGTTCCTTTAAAGAGATCTATAGGGTTTAGGGTTTCTTAGTCTATCCAAGGGTGAAAGGAGGGACCCTTAATAAGGACCCCTAGGTATATAGCCTTAATATAGCGGTTATATACCGATTATGTAGCCCATTATAGGGTTGGGGTCCCCATTAAGGGTCCCGCCTTTTCCCCTTTGATACTTAGTACTTAAACGATCATGGGACTTAGTAAGGTCAGGTTTCCTTTAAAGGGCTCCTAAAAGGAATCTATAGGGGTTCCTTAAAGGGATCTATAGGGTTTTAGGGTTTAGGGTCTACTTAAAGGATCATGGGACTTAGTAAGGTTAGGGTTCCTTTAAAGGGCTCCTAAAAGGGATCTATAGGGGTTCCTTAAAGGCATCTCCTTACTTATTAGGGACCCGAAAAGCGCATAAGCTTTCAGGGACCCAAAAAGGGTTTAGGGTTTAGAGTTTCAGAAAATTAGGGGTACCTTGTTTTGGGGTCCCAAAAAAAGCACATAAGCATAAACATTTTATGGGGATATCCCTACCTTACTGGGCTTCATTACAAGGGGATTTATACGGGAGATACCTATCCTAGGTTTTGCTTATGTGCTTTTTGGGGGCCCTAACTTACCCTGATTTAGGCGAGTACTATAGGGTACTATACCACCTTTAAAGGGATGCTTAAGGGTTCTTTTAAGGGATCTAAGGGTTTAGGGTTTAGGTCTCAACCTGACACCACGGACCCTCGACTCCCCCTAGGCCCGAAACCCAAACTTGATGTCAGACAGCGTCAAAAGCCTTAAATTCGGTTTAGGGTTTAGGGTTTAGGGGTTTAGGGTTTAGGGGGATATTAGAGACTGCACAATAGAATCGGGACTTCTCAAGTTTGGTTATAAGTTCGTTACTCATAGGCATCGTTCCCCCAATCAGAGCCCTACTTACCAAGTCTCTTGGCCTTTAAATACACCTCAGAAATCCTCTGTGCACGTCAGGAGGTGCTGACGCGGCGGTTTGGCGACTTGGCCAGCGTGGCAAAGGTTGAGGGTCCGGAGAGAAAGCTTTCCCCAACCCTAAACCCCTAAACCGTGAACCTGAACCCTGAACCATCAACCTGCACCCTAAACCCAAACCCCTAAAACCTAAACCCTAAGCCCAAGGCTCAAGGCTCAGGCGGTTAGACGGTCCGGGGTCCGCGTCGTCATACCTGTGGCTCTTCGCTTCCCTGGAGTTGATTCTGCGCCCCATCACGACGCAGGCGGGTGCGGTACCCCGACGTGTTCTCCGATTACCTTCGCCTGCTCTTTGACATGCATCCCCATCTCTTGGGGCAGGGGGCTCAGGTGCCCGTCCCCGCTGGGGGGTTGGAAACTGACGATGACATGAGCCCTTCCAGGAAGCGGCTTGGCGAGACTCCTCCGCCGGGGGGGAGAGGTCGAAGGGATGGGAGCAACAAGGCCCCCGCGACCACACGACTTGGAGAACATGGGAGTGACAACCCACTCCAAGGCGCGGGACAGCCTGCCGGCATTGCTGGGGGCAAGGTTCTGAGCCTGGATATGCTGGCCATGCAGCAGCTTCTTGAGGTGCAGAAGGAGCAGATCTTGGAGGCCAACCGTACACATGCACAAGGACTCCTTGACGCGCTTGAAGTGAGGCATGGGCAACGCATCACGGCCCTTGAGCAGACCGTGACTGGAGTGGACACTACGGTTCGCGACTTTGCCTCCAGGTTGGAGCTGGTTGAGCAGCAGCTGAAGCAGGGAGTGTCTTCCGGTGGACTGGATGACAAACGCCGGCACACACTCGTGATAGGTGGCTGGGAACGAGACACCAGGCGTGGGACTATCTTGAGTGAGGTTGAGGAGGCCCTCAAGCAGCTCAAACTGATGGACCTGACGGACACCAAGGCCTTCACCACGGGGCCCAGGCGCTCAGTTGCCCTTCTCCCCTTCGAGCTCAGGAAGAATGAACTTGAGTCGGCACGGAAGGAGAGGATGTACGGGGTGCTCTCTGGCTTGATGGATGGCGGCCTCACCACATCTGCGGGGAAGCGACTCTGGGCAGCTGTGAGCAAGAGCAAGGAGCAACGTGAGATTGGGGGGCATTGTGCGTGGTTGAAGCGGGCCCTGGGGACGTTTTCGGCGGACCTAGCAGGACAACTGGACCTCGAGTACTCCTCGGGCTCCTCCTGGCTGGGGGCTTCCATGACAGGGAGTGCCACACTTCCGATTCCCCCGGGGACAGACATGCGCCATATCTTCGTTGATGAACGCAGCGGTAGCAAGCCGTGGTTCGATCTCAAGGCCCTGAAGACGGAGACCAAGCTTGGCACTCAGCAGCTGCGGGATGCGCTACAGCAGACCCAACGCTGAATGGATCCGAGCCTCTCCGCTTTGCATGATTTGCTGCTCCGGAGTCAACACGAGGCCAGGGCCGGCAAGCCGAATTCAGAGGGGCAAAGCAGTGCCCCCTCTCTTTTCCTTGACATGCAGACACAGCGCACCTTAGGTGCTCTGCCTTCGACAAGTTGTTTTGGATCCAAGGGTCTATCCGCTGAGGCTCAGTGTGCCGGCACTCGGCCGGTGGACCGGGGTTTTCGAGTTTTCGGATGGAACCTTGGAGGATGTTCGGCCGACACGCTTTGCGACTTGGTCAAAACGGCTACACGTGAGGCGGTTTTCGACAGTGATCTTTTTCTTCTACAGGAACTTCCTCGCTCACGCACAGGTTGGGCGACCACCACCACCAAGGAAGGGTACAGGCTTGTGGGTCATCAGGGTTCTTCACAGTGGCGAGGGACAGGGCTTCTCTATTCGCCCCTGGCGTGGTCGGTTATTCGCAGGGTCGCCAAAGGGAAGGGTACCTGGTTCCTGCTGAAGTCTTTGCGAAGTTCGGTTCAATTCTGGGTTGCAACCTTTCACTTCACTCCTGGGCTTACGGTTCAGAAGCACGAGCAGGAAGTCCTGGAGTTCCTCAAGGGGCGACCTTCGGACGGCAGGCCTGTCCTGTTGCAAGGGGATTCCAATGCTCACTTAGGCTGGGTTGCTGGGTCTGGGGCTGTTGAAGCTCTTGGCCTTGAGGGAAAATCCATCATGATGCTGGACCAGTTTTCGGCAGCGGGCATTCGGCTTTGCCTTCCGCCGTCAAGGCAGTTCTCGACTCCTACCAGCAGGCCCCGACGCGAGGACTGTGAGGGTCATCAGATCGACTTTGGGGCGACAAAAGGGGTCCTCAGGGCTGCTCTCTACATCCACGAGGACTCTTACATGCTGCAGGGCACTGACCACGAACTGCTGGAGCTCCGCTTCTGGCTCAGGGTGGATAGGGCGTTCCCTCGGCACTGCAGCCGACCCAGGGTTTGGACTAAGGGGCCTTCGCACATTGACTTCCTCGACCAGGATGCTCTCCGACAGCTAGCTGCTCAGTGCACAGGACCACGCCCCAGTAAGTGCTTCCGGGACCCCCCTGCGGTGAAGAAGGCCTTTCGACGGGCTAAGACGTCTCGTTCCCCTGCTGCTTGGAGGCTCGTCGGTCTTGGGAGAGCGCGAGGATTCGAAGGGCTACGGAGGGGGACTGGCAGGCTTTCCGAGATGAGACCCGGGTTCAAGCGACGGGTTGGGACCTTGTCTACGCTGATGCCCAAGCCTGTGATCCTCACCAGTCTGTGCACCAACACCTTACTGAGGTTTACTCGGGGGATGACCTTCCTCCACTGCCCCCTTTCGTGGGGCCGGTCCAGGCGTTCAGCATCGAAGAGCTCACCAAGGCGGTCTCGCAGATACGGAAGGGGAAGTCGGTTGGGGTTGATCTCACATCCAGGGAACTACTGGACGGCATCCTGCAGACGACTGGGGGCCCTGAGCACCTACTGGAGTTTATGAATCGTACATTGTGTACACAGACTGTGCCCCGAGATTGGAATCGGCCCCTTGTCATCATGCTCGCCAAGACTGACTCCCCTACTGCTCCGTCGGACCTCAGGCCCATAGCAGTTGGCTCCTCAGCAGCCAAACTCTTCTCACGCCTCCTCGTCAACCGCATCGCTCCTAAACTAGCTCCACGGACTCACTCTCAGTGCGCCTCGTCAGGACGACAGACATGCGACGTGGTTTGTTCGCTGTGGAAGCTCTGCGAGTTAGAACGAGAGTGGAAGGCAGGGTTAGGGGTGGTCAAGGTAGATGTGCGAAAAGCCTTTGACTCAGTTAATCGGGCTGCTCTCCTTGCTGCTTTACGCGCCAGACTCGGCGACACAGCCGAATACCGGTGCTTCCACGCCCTGCTGGTCGACGTGGAGGCCGTCCTCCAGACTTGCTGGGGCTCGAGTCTGTTGGCCATGAAGTCTGGAATAAAACAGGGATCGATCGAATCTCCGATCCTTTTCTCGTTCCTCATGGAGGTTGCGTTGGAGCAGGCCAGGGTTAAGTACTCGTGGGATCAGGGTTCGCACCTCTTCCATGATATGTTGGAGGAGGACCTCCTGTATATGGATGATGGCTACCTCTGGGGGCCTGACTGTCGTACACTCGGAGTTCGCCTCGGGCAGCTAGCAGAGGTTCTACAAGGATTTGGTCTGACTCTGAACATCGCCAAGTGTGTCCTCTACTGTTCCCCCTACTGCCCAGGACCACATAAGCTCCGACTACATCGCGTCACCTTGGAGGCCTCTGACCACCTCCCGGTGATGGGCCTGAAGATGAGGGTAGGGATGAGCATGAGTGAACTTATACAGCCACTCCTGTCCCGGGCCAGGTCCAAATTTTGGGGCTTGAAGCACTTGTTCCGCTCAAAGACTCAGGCCAAAGGGAGGGTTCAGCTAATGCATCGTGTTATCTCCAACACTGCTCTCTGGTGCATCGCTGCTCTTCCCCCTGATCGTCCGGCGCTCGCCCTCGTCAACTCGTTCCAGGCTCTTCTGCTGACGTGGCTTTTGCGGCTTGGAAAACGAGCCGATGAGGACTGGCCCGCCTTCCGTAAACGAGCGGTGCGAAGTGCCCGGTACTCCCTCCATGTGGCAGGGTGTCCCCGGTGGAGCACCTGCTGGCTTACTCGGTGGTGGACATTTGCTGGTCACAGGGTCAGGGCCTCGCAACAACAGTTTCCCCCGATCTCCACAATCCTGGAAATGTTCCGTGACAGGCAATGGTGGCAGAAGGCCAAAGATGCAGGGCTGTCCCACCCGGGACGTTTCTTCGCGCGGCTGCACTCCTTGGACAAGGCCATGGATACAGTGTGTGGGGGACCGTGGAGGGTTTATGCTTTGGATCGTGCAGCTTGGCAAGCTAAACTTTCGACCTGGATTCAACAGAGGGACGTGCCTTGGGCGAGTGGGGTTCAGCTGAGCCTGCCTGCGGAGGCTATGAACTAGTACAAGGGTTGGGGTGAACCTCGGACCTACCAATTCGTGCGCTGTTGCTCACTGTGGTGAAGACTGCCCTGTCTGATTTGCTGAACAGCAGGCTCGAGTGACTGTGTGGATCAGACTCGCCTCTCCGTATTTGTGATTTTCAGCCGAGCGTGTGATTCCAATGTGCGATCGCCACCCCGGCTTTGGAGCCTTCTACATGTACTTTCTCTTGCCCGCCCTCGGTACGAGTCTGCCCTTCTTCGCCCAGCTCCCAGGTGTGCTCGCGCCAATCCCGGATGACTACGGCAACTGGCCGCCGATCTGGTTCACAGAGGCAACTCTCCGAGGACGAGACCTGGCAGCACGAGGGCTTCGTATGTCGGATGCCCTCGCGATGCTAGCCCGGGCTGCCTCCCACCGCAACTTTGCCACCTACACGAACTTCGCATCCAGAACGGCTGTGGCTATTGGGAACACCTTGGAGCTGCCCGTCTCCAACCTGGCGCCTGAGGAGATCCACCTGGACCTCCGTGTCTGGGTGACCTTTGTGGAGGCCCATATCCTTGAGGAGTTCTTGGAGCATGAGTACCCCTTCCAGCAGGGACTTTACGAAGGTCTCCGCAATGTGAACCCGAACCTGGCCTCCCTTCCCGCGCCACCGCAGGAGACCATGCTCCGAGCTCAACGCCGGGAAGAGTTCAACCAACTCCGACGCGATCCTCCTTTCATTCGACACCTCCGTGCCTCTACTGGACCGGCTTTCCGATCTCACTCCCTCATGCGGCTTGAGTGGGTGGGCCGGTGCGTGGGCGACTTCCACGATCTCTACCACGCGGGCTACAACCTGCATGGGGTCTTCGAAGAAATGGTGGCCTTCATCAGAGCCAGGGACAATGGTAGCTATCGCTCCCTCGCACTCCCCTATTACAGAGAAGTTCTCAGCCAGCTGGGCACCTTCTTGGGCTCACCGGACTCTTCCAGGCCGCCACAGGCTTCTGAATGGGTTGCTGACAGGGAGTCGGAGCTCTGGTACCTCTACAACTACCACGGCTTGGAGGCTCGAGATGTTGATGTGGACGACATTTCGGTTGGCAATGCTTCTTCATCCAACCGTTCCTGTGCTGAGGAGGCCGCTGATGATGTGAGCTCCCTCATGGATCGCAAGGGGGTCAACAAGAGATGGCTCAAGAATGCACCTACTCGCCGCTACGACGAGCACCTTCTCGCCCACGGACTCCCCATGCCTCTACCACACCCCGCTCTTTGAATCGCCCCTCGGCACCTACGACCACTGATCCATGGCGAAGCACAAGTGCCGAGGTACACCGACGCCAGCCACTACCAGGCCGACGCCCAAGGCACGTCCTGCTGCTCGAGCCCCACTGCCTCGGTCGGAGAAACCTACCCACCGATCCCCGCCTCAGCCCAGCCGGGAACAAGGAGCTTCGAGGGACATGCCTGCGTCGTCCTCGGAGGCCGCGGGGGCGGGTGGTACTGGACCTGATGGCCCTCTCACGGTTGAGGAGGCCCTGGACACATGGTTGCTTCTTTTGGGGGTCCGGGACATAGACGAGCCCATCGGCACAGACGTTCTACCGGAGAGGGTTACGACCGCCATTGTTGAAACCTTTTTGGAGCATAACTTGGCGGACCGCTTGACCTTCACGATGGCGGTCAATCGGCTCTTGGGTGGCTTGCTGTCTGCCATTGGAGCTGCTTTGGAAGTTGCTACAACCCAGGCGGCGAGCTCCCCTGCGCCTCCACTTCCACCACCGAGAACACCTCCTTCAGAGCCTCGGGACACTGAGGACGACGAGTCCATCTATATGCAGACCAGCATTGCGGATGCACTTCAACCCCGGACTGGGACTATGCCGGCAGCGGTGTGGGAGAACTTGTTGCAGAAGTTCCAGAGGGGCCTCGAGGACTTGCCGAAGGGAATGAGAGCGGTCCAGGTTGAACACCTTCTGAGTTGGCTGGACTACAGGTGCACCCGCGCTCAAGAGGGCTTCCTGTTGGGGCATCTTCGTGACGAGGGCGCTCAGCTGCTTGCAGTTCTTGTCGCCTTCAGGGATCAGAACCTAGCAGCCGTCTCGGAGCAGGAGGTCCAATGGGCTGACAATTGGTTTCGGGCCTTCGAAGCCTTTCTGCCGATCAGCGCCTCTAGTCGCTTGGCTCATGGGCGAAGTCGTCTTCGAGATCCCCCTGTCATGCTCTTCCCGAAACCGCTCCCGGACTCCGACTCTGACAACATCCCGAACGTGACCGAGCCTCTCCCAGCTACCTTGCCCGCGATTGACCTCGACACGCAAACTACGGAGAGCACGGGGGTTCTTGCAGTGCATGCTGAGCCAGGCTCCGGGTGGTCGGCCGGCCAACTACGCCCCCTGGGGGAAGCTCCCCCGCCGGACCTGGAGGACAGCCTCGAGGAATCGCGGCAATGTGTGGATCGGCTCGCGGCGGATGAACAGGAGGCACGGCATGATCGTCTGGTTGAAGAACAACGTCTCCAACGCGAACAAGATGCCATTGAGGCGGAAGAGTCGCAGCAGCTTCAGTACCTCGAGGGGCTACAGGAGGAGAATGCTCTTGCCACACCCTCAGCTGAAGTGGGCCGCAAGCGTCGCATTTTGGTGGTGGAAATGTCAACTGGTAGTCAGGATGAGCCGCGGACGGCACGATGCATTCGCCTCCCAATCTCGGAGGACGGCATTGCGACCATGACCTTGCGGCTGTGGAGGGACGATGAGCCGGATCAGGATCTCATCCCTACTCCGGTCTTGGAGCCTTCACTGCCTGCCGCCCCCGTGCCGCCGACCCAGCTGCTTCCTGCCACTCTGCCGGGGGACTCCGGGGAGGTCGCTGATGACAACATTGCGATCAACTTTGCGGAGTACCAGGAAGTCTTTCAGGCCTGGGCGAATGGGCGAATGTCGACCTCCCAGGTGTTGGCGTTGCATGGACGTGGTGTGCTGAGCCTCTTGGAGTCGCAGTGGGCCTTCATGGCTGACGACACCTGTGCAGCTGAAGCTCGCCTCGCCGCTCTGCCAGGGGGTCCGGGCTCGGCTTTGCCTCCTGTGGGCGCTGGCTGCCTCGGGTCTGAGGGGGACGACAGTCAGGAGGCGGTTGACACGCTGCTGGTCGCTTCTACTATGCCTTCCAGGTCTGAGCTTGTGCGTCCCCAGACGGAGGAGGAGTGGGAGGTTCTCTTCTCTCGCTGGAAAGGTGGCCTCCTTACCACGGCAATGGTTGAACGTGAGCTCGGTGGCAAGGCAGTTTCAGAGCTGTACCGGCGATGGCAGGTGTATATGGACGGAGCGGCTGCTTATGCTGATGGTCAGCGGGGACGTTCCTCTGGCGATGCTGGCCCGGGGGTTCTTGATCGGGATGATTGATACAGTCGAGACGTGGCGGTGATGTTTCTGCGGCGGGACATGGGCAACCTTCTGCGGGAGCTGTACTGAGGGCTGAGGGTTCGTTTTCTTTCGCCTGGCTGTAAGGTTGTCGGGCACTCCTGGCCCCCCGGGCCTTCTTGGAAGCTGGATTGGCGACTGGGAAAAAGGAGCTTAAAAAAAAAAAAACCCTAAGCCCAAAACTCAAAAACCGTAAAACCTAAACCTAAGCCCAAAACCCTAAGCCCAAAGCCCTAAATTCAAGGTCTTGGGGATCTCCTTGGCATCGTCCGGGGATGTCGAAAATTCAGAGCTTTTGAGTCTTTGGAGGTCTCGGAGGCCCTGGTTTTAGGGCCCTAAACCGTGGAACCCTGAACGGTACTTGGAGGGTCGGGGGACTTAGTAAGTAGGTAGTAAGTAGACTTATAAGTACCCTAAAAAGGGCCCCTAATTGGGGTTATGGTACCTATACGTCCTCAAAATAACCGGTTACTAAGTCCCCCGACCCTCCAAGTACACCCTAAACCGTAAGTCACAAAACCTTGAGCTGGGGTTTGCGGCTCCAATGCTCATGGGGTTTTAGGGCTTGGCGTTCCGGGCAAAATATGCTCTCCCAGACATTCCAAAGTCGCGGAACTAATCACGGAATATACCGTAATTCATGCTAGGGATCCGATAATCAACTTACGGGATATTCCTTAATTAAGGGATTTGGAAGGCCTGGGTTAGGGGGAGTTTGAATACACGCAGGAAGCGACGAGTGATAGCATCGTGCTAAATTAAGGGGTTAGGATATAGGGTTTATGAAACTAAATTTTTTGTTATGATGCAACAGTCCACCAGCATCCCTAGTCTGATTGTTCAGGCTGCTAGTTTGGAGCGCTTTATCCTTTGACTGGTCCGCTTCGAAAAGGACCCTGATTGCGAGCCCTCAGACCCCTGAACCGTGAACCCTCATCTAACCATTGATATTATGGGAGCCGAGGAGCCAGGGATGATGATAATCCCTATGAAATAAGGAGCTAAAGAGCCAAGGGAACCCCCAAAACCACTGGTTAGTTAAACCCCAATCCTCCTCAAGTCCTCGATCGCCAACTGGCAAACTCTGATCAGAGGCTGCCCTGAGCCTCAGGAAAACTTTGGACACTTATTGATGGCCGCGCCCCGCGAAAAGAAACAGGACCGGCCAGGCTGCCGGTCTGTCCCGCTTTGTCCCGGTCCGTCCTGCCACGAACTTTGTGGCACCTCATCGCCTGATTTCGGAGTTCTAGCGAGATGTCGGTGGAACTGGAAATGGCGATGCTGCCTGGGTAAGCTAATATAGGGGCCTTAATAATAATGACCTATACGATTTTGGGGGTTCCTTCTCATCATTATGGCAAAATGGTCCCCAAAACCTTATTCTAATTATTAAGGCCACTATACTATCGGACCCTATTCTAGATCCCTTATAGAACCCTTTAAGGAACCCTTTAAAGGAACCCTATCATAATTATGAAGGTCCCCACATGAAACTCGTCTAAACTCCGTCAATTTTTATTAATTCAGCCCTACTTGTCAACTTCAAGGGGCAAACAGCATGCCTTCCCCAAGCCTTTCGTGCGAGACCCCAAGGAGCCCAAGCCACAAGACCCAAACCCCAAGAACCCGAGACCTCACCATCGAAACAGTCAGTCCCAAGCTAATGGGTGGTTGTCAAAATTATGATCCCTTTTTGGGTCCCTAGTATAGTACGGCACCTAATATTTAGGGTACCCCAAAAGGGACCTTAATTTTGATAACTACCCTAATGTAGAAAGTTAAACCCTGAATCTAAACTTAAGAAAGCTTCGGCTTTGAAATTCTAAACCCATGGGTCTCGAACCTGAAAGTAAGCTTGAGAGAAAGCCTTAAACCCTGGCTCTAACCTAAGAGCTTTCAGCTTTAAAGCACACAGGGTTTAGGGTTTAGGGTTTAGGGCCCTGCTGCAAAAGATCCAAATTGAATGAACCCCGAGAAGAGAGCCCCCGGACCCTTGTCTTAAGAACTCTGCCGGTGATTGTGAACTAAACCCTGAACCCTTAGACCCTAAGCCCTAAAAGAGTTGAGCCGCATGATTTCAAGTACATAGGAATATACCATAGTTCATATTAGGGATCCTATTTTTATTTCAGGTATATTCCTTAGTTAAGGGATTTTGGAAGGTCTGGGTAGTTCTCCATTGGCCGTCAGCCCATAGACCTTCCACCCTAAAGGCCTGAACCCTCAGCCATAAACTCTGAAGCCCTAACGCTCTAAACCGACAGCCCCGCATCCTGAACCCTAAAAACCCTCCTGGGCTGACTGGGAACACTGGCAAAAAGGAAGAAAGGCCCCAGGCTATGAATAATTCCGGGTTCCTGAATTGGTTTATAGTACGAGAAACCCCCCAACACCCCCAAAACCCCAAACCCTAAACCCCATAAGCCCTAACCAAAAACCAAAAACCCTAAACCCCAAACCCCAAACCCTAAACCCTAGACCAAAAACCCCTATTATGAGCAGAGATCCGAGGCTATGGCTTCAAGCTGCCTTTGATGGCCAAAGACTGCCGGATCGCCTCGGAGGTTCTCAAGGACTTCCTGGACCCTAAGGAACCTACCTTTTTTAGGGTTCCCGAGTATGATTTCTTTATATAAGTCCTTAAAAAGTAGGTTAAAGGGGTTAAGGTTGGCTGGGATTTCGGGGTTTAGGGTTTAGGGGTTTAGGGGTTTAGAGTTCAGGGTTTAGGGTTTAGGGTCTGTTGACTTTCGGGCTTGGGGAAAAGGGTTTAGGGTTTGGGGATTTGGGAGTTTCCGAAATGACGTATACCTTATTTTGGGGTCCTTGTAATCAGGATCCTACGATTTAGGGTGCT